AGCAGGTTCCCAGCAAGCAAGCAAGCAAGCAAGCAAGCAAGCAAACAAGCAATGCAAGCAAACAAGCAAACAAGCAATGCAAGCAAGCAAGCAAGCAAGCAAGCAAGCAAGCAAGCAAGCAAGCAAGCGCGCTGTCGTTGAGCAGTTGGAACCCTTCCAATCATGATGCAACGTTAAGGAAGTTGCCAATGACATCGGCGACACCGTTACACATGCGACTGCCTTCGTTTACGGCTGGGGTTTCAGTGACACACTGAGGCGGGACTGATCGGTTCGTGTCACGTCACTGTTTCAACAATCATCTTCAAAGCGCGTTGCTGAGAGCAGCTGGCTACAGGTTGCAGGACTTACAGATGTAACACGGCATTAGCCGGCACCGCCGCACTGCGCCCACAATTCAATGACTACTTTCAAAACCACAAAGACGCGACTTGAACCTTGCCAGGGTTATCTATTTTCCATTCTTCAACGGCTCCTTGGATTCGCAACTTAACAACTCTGGTGCTTGGGATGTTGTTGCTTCTGTGCCGGATGCGGATATGTCGGGTGCGGCATTTCATGCGCGATCGTGTGGTACAGAATAGCTTGACATGCTGCATTCCTATGCAAAGCTGAAAGGCTGCACATCCATCTCATGGTCATCGTACGCTTGGCCGCATAAGCGGTGCTGGATGAGCTTGAGAAGATGCCGGTAATGTGAGGTGCCCGCAATCGCCGCAGTATCCACAGGTGTGGTATTATGCCATACTGGCTTCGATCATCCTTGGAGTCTCCGGATGCACTCATAGGGCCTGAAAACTCCGTCAGAGATCTGCAGTGCTTCCCACCATCTGCCAAGGAAGTTACATGAAACAGCTGAGCCGCTTGGTCGAGCTACTTCCCATGCCTTCTCACGGCCTTCTAGGCCTTCTAGGTGTGGGCGGAGCTTCGTAGATGGACATGTCAGCAACCTAGAGCGCACAGTTGTGATAGGCTAACTGTTTTCACTTCGATTGCGCCTGAGACCTTGCCTGGGTTGTCCGAGTTGTGAGAGTGTAATTCGCAGACGAAGTCGGCGCGGTCCAACAGTTTTGGCTGTTTGCTGACCTGCAGTCCTGCAGCTTCAGGTATGCAAGAATACCGAAGTGCACACAGCAAGTCGTACCGCACGCTGATGATTACAGCTCCTCGGAGTGCACTTTCTTGTCCAGCGGTCTTTGTTTACTGCCGGAGCCTTTTGCCGTAAAGCCCCTGGCCGCCCGAGACTTTAATTAGACACAGCTTTGACGCTGGTGCTTCTGCTGAAGCCATGTTGAACCATCTCCGAGACCATCTACCTTGGCAAGAAGGGAACAGCTCATGCCAGTGATACCCGGACAAGCTGCAGTAGCTTAGCCTTGCACCGGGTGCAGGGAAGAAGGCCAAGTGAATTCTACCTTGGCCATGCAATCCTTGTGCTGCAACGAAAGGCACCCACTGCCTTCGTCTCTGCTTTTGGCACTTGTGCCTGGACAGGGTTCCTGAACACACTCGGCCTTACCATTCCTCCGCCTGAGCCGACTTCGGTCTGATCTCAGCCCCATGAATTTTTGGCCGCCGCCACTGCTACCTACAACAACTAGAACGCAGCAACACAGGCCACGACAGCAATGTCAGCAACAAACTGATTGACGAAAAGCGGACATGCAGCAGCGAGGAGAGAGGCCCTAGCATTCAAGCAAGAGCCATCTGTTTACTACTTGTGCATGTAGGTTCTGCAGACGTCTGCACGACATGCAGGCCATGTCGCTGACGGTCGGCTGGGGCTGGATGGATGTCTGCAATAGTACTACTACCTTCTTCATTTCGGAGTGGATGAAAACCCACACATCGCTGTGGAGCATTCCTATCATCTATTTCATCCATCTCGTGTTTGTGTACGCGATCTTGACAGAGATTTACTTCCAGATCCTGGATGTGTCTCGGCAGACAATCGAAGAGTGACATTTTTGTATTTCTTCACGGCTTAGTTCGAGGGCACGTGCTAGTCCGACGGGGGTTCGGCCTCAGCTCACGGGACGAAGAAGATTGAGCCACCCCTAAGCCCAGAGAGCGACGGCATTAGAAGGATAGCTGAGACGAAGGTTTGTTGGAGCTCGAATCTTGACTTCCGTCTCACGCAGCATAGGAGATGCGATTCTTGAAGAGGGAGCGCAGCGAATTCCAGGAGGACTGCAGCCTCGAACTCGAACATCACAGCGCAAGCATTAACATGCACATGTGGCAGTGCATATCCAGCTTCCCGTCTGTCAGAACTTCCCGACGATTCCCGCCTCTGTGCGGCGGTATCAGGGCTCAGACCTCACTGATCTCGAGCAGGCCAGGGATGATCATGTCCTTTGCACCCTGAGAGCTCCATGCGTAGAGCTGCAAGGCCACAAAGGCATCCAAAGGCCATACTGGTTCAGAGGTGAGAACTGGTGCCTGCATGGGTAGCAGGTACTGTGCCAATCCATTCACTGGTACATCTCGACCAAATGCCCTTTCCTGTTCACTCAAATCCAGTCAAAGTGAACCAACAGCTGCAGATACGAGAAGTCGACAGAGGCTCTTGGAGGTTTTCAAAGAAACCGACCGTGCATTTCCGAGCTGGCAATATCACGAAAGCTCGCGTAGCAGAGCTTGAGTTTAGCTTTGCTTTTAGCAGGGAGGCAGTCCAAGGTCAGAAACCAGCCTCTTATTGGGGGGGTGGGGGGCTTAATTGAACGGTTCATACGATTTCATGTGTTTTGTGAGGGGGCAGGGGGAGGGGGGCGGTTAATATGATTGATTCTCTGGTTTCGGGAGAAGGGGGGGTTAATAACAGCAACAACAAGAGCAAGAGCAACAACAACAACAACAGCAGCAATCTCAACATCAGAATCGACAACAGCAACGGCCACGACAGCAGCAGCAGCAGCGGCAGCGGCAGCGGCAGCGGCAGCAGCAGCAGCATCAACAACGACAACTACAAATACAGCAGCAACGACAACAGCAGCAGCAGCAGCAACAACAACAACAACAACTACTACTACTACTACTGCTGCTGCTGCTGCTGCTGCTGCTACTGCTACTACTACTGCTACTACTGCTGATGCTGCTGCTGCTACTGCTACTCCTACTACTACTACTACTACTACTATTACTACTATTATTACTGCTACTGCTATTGCTACTGCTCCTGCTACTACGTCTGCTACGACGACGATTACTAGTACTGTACTTCCGCGGATAAAGCTCGCTGACCTGCCGTGGATCTACCGCATACAAAGGCAGCCGAGCTTTCGTTCTCTGCGAATTTCCGAGCTGTGGTAGTTCCAGGGGCGGCCCCCAGCTGCAGACCAAACGGCCGACAAGAAGGACCTACACCTGTGAGCTCGTGGGGAAATCGAGGACTCGGGCATGCCAGTCAGTGACTATAGAGTCTAGAAGGGCAGTCTCCTGCTTGCGGATTTGGCAACTTGATGGCCGTAGACTTCGACAGTTCTTTCTTGCCGTTTCTGTGACGGGTCGCAGAGAGAGGCAGCTGGCAGAAGCCTATTTTGGGATCCCTTTGCCCCAGCTAAGCTCCTGCAGAGGCCTCCCCATCTCACATGTCTGAAACTTAGTTATTTTCTCGAGGGCGCCTTATTGGGAAGGGTTGGGAACGGACATTTGGCTCCACGTAGGCCTGTGCGTTCAATGCATGCTGGCTGCTGCACAGTTGCAGGCCTTGGACAAGTTTCCCCAATGCAGGTCAGAATTAGACAGGGTGCGGGAGACGGATACGCGATGTGCGAATGAAAAGAAAAAGCCCTGGGCTAAGGGGCTCCCAAGAATATACCCGATGAGCGAAAGCAGACACCCGCTGCGACCGCATGATTTGAGGGAAACCGAGATATGTTCTGCTGCCTCAAGGTTTGTTCTGTAGCCCTCTGTTAAAGCAGTCTTGATCTTGTGAGATTCGAGATCCTGACCAAACACGGCGCAGTCGAAGCATCATGCTATTAACCCGGTGGAGACGTTTTGCGGCCTCGCAAGAACTGCGAGGCTGAGCGACGAAAGCCCCAAATAAGTCTCTCGCCATGTTAATCCTATGTTCAGCTATGTTGAACTTTTTGGCTGCAATCTTCAATCTGGAAGATACTTCGCAACAGCCCTGTTTCGTGGTTTATATCTCTGCTCGGCAGGAACTAGATCCCATCTTCAGATGCTGATCTCGAAGATAGATTGGATTCAATGAAGGCGAGAACCAATTCCGGCACCAGCGCGGTCCAGCGATTTTGAAGACAAACAGCAGGAGGTTCGACACTTATCGGACGGTGGTCGAGAGCTTTGTGTCTGGACCGCTGCGGTGCAAGATTTTCCCTGTAGCTAGAGCCGCCAGCTTCACAAGAAATTTGTGTTTGGTGTCACCCTGCCAGAAAGTTGCTTAGTTTTCAACCGCAGTAGCTCGGAGAGGCCTGTTGGTATACTCGGGTATACGCTCGGTACCGGTACAGTTGCAGATGGTGCCTTTTGCTCCGCCACTGCGTAAGAATGCGATTAGTGTGCAAGTTGTTTGGTTTTGCGACAACATCGCGCTGATGCAGCGATGTAGCTAGAGGTACCGCGGCCATGAGCAGGATGCTCTCATGGACACTTAGTTCGGGCCAACGTGCTGGGGTGTGTGGCAAAAGCAGGTGTGCAATCCTCGGCTTTCGAGTGACGGTGCTGGAAGCAGTTTTAGAGCGGGTGCTGATCGAAGGCAGAGGCAACTTAGGAATCTGTTTTCCGCTCTAAACCGATGTCAAGCTTTGCAGGCCTTGGCACAGAAAAGCCATGCGAGGCCGGATGTTAGTGGTGTGGAGGTGTGGGTCGAAAGCCTCAGAACAGCCACGTGGCCTTTGAAGGAACCGGAAGACCACGACCTCCACGTGAACGATGTCCCCAGCCAAGGCCAGCAAAGCCATTTTGACCAAATTCAGATGCCTCTCACTCACATGGGGACATTCGTGCAGTTCCGGGTGACCGTGAAAGGTTTCCTTCCTCCAATTACGACCTACTCTTCAAAAACAATGGCAGGCGCAGTGGGTTTCCTGCTGGAGTGTACGTCTGGCTGTGATGCAAGCCTTTGTGTAATGCTTTTCTGTCTTCGTGCCAGGATTAGCCGAAAGTGTGGCAGGCAGGGCTGAAAGCAGAAGAGCACGGACTCTTGTTCCGCAGCTCACCCTCTACAACTCCTTGTGCTTCGGAGGCTGGCGACTGGTGGGAGCAGACTGGGTGCTCAAATAGGTGACAGAGAGCTCCCGAAGCGGATATGGCATCGCACATAGAAAACAGCACAGCTACAACCGTGCTACAGCACTACCCAGGCGCTATGATGGATAATGCGAGGGGATATCGGCTCATCAATGTGCTTTGCCATCTGGTGATTCCATCTTTTTCTCAGAGCCAGATCGGACAGACAGACATCTCCAAAACTGGCAGATGTTATTGTGCTGCCGTGCCCGCACTCCCTTCATGCTGTCAGAAGGGACTGAGATGATGTGTGAACCCAAAGTAAAGTGATAGAAGGCCAACGCTAGAAAGGCCACCGCCCTCGCCCTCCAGCAGGCCTGACAACTCAGTGCTGCGGGCGCGAGCCAGTGTGCACGGGCAAACTGCCTGTGACGTGTCCTGTAACTCGGGATGTGTGAATCTTCCAGCTGATTTCCTGGATTATTGCAAGCCCAGCCGTGCGGGACCTCTTGAAGCTCGTTGGGCACTAGTCAGTCAAAGAGGGGAGTCGTACTATACAATGCTTCTGCATGGTCACGTGCCCTGCAACGGCTGGCAGAAGCCAGCTAGTTGCTTTCCGCCTTCCTTGTAGCATACCCTCCTGCATCCAGGATGTGCTGCCTCACTGGATCTGCAAGAGGCTTGCAAAACCTCCATGCCCATGCAGGAATGCGTTGCGGCAAGGGGTCAGATCTCAACCTACAAGCTTGGAGACATTTCGAGATGCCTACCCTTTCCGAGGCGACGTTTTGATTCCCAATGGTGAAGCTGCTGACGCAGTTGCCGTGGCTTGTCTGCGGCCTGCAGCCAGTTGGAGCTGTGTTTTGGAGTGAAGTGAATAAGGAGATGCGAGTCGAGTCATCGCAGAGGCTGCTGTTCCTCGCTGTGTCCTCAAGCTCTGACGAATCAAACCAAGAGCAATGACACTCAGCTCAGGCACCCCTTCTGCGTGTGCACAACAGGTCCTTGTCGTCAACTGACATATCTCGCAGCCGATTTGAAGAGAGCTGCCTTTCAGGACGGGCTTCACACTGGCCTTGCGTTTCCTTGACCCGGTCCAGCACGAGGCGCACGGCCTGGGCGCGAGCCTGAAGGAGCGAAGAGCCCCCCGCCCCCACGTCACGTTCTCAGGTTCCGATGCTGGAGATTCCTCAAACTGCCTGCTGCGATGCCAAGCACTTGGGACATTTCAGCCGTCAGCCCCTCGCACCCTGGAATCGGAAGCTATCGGAACCTTGGGCAGGCCGCGATCCTCGGATACCTTCTTCAGGAGGATACTTTCCTCGTCGCTTTGCAGCCGGGCGGGGCAGGCCACACACTGCTTTCTGCCTGCTTCGTGCTTCAACCGAGAGGAGCCGCCTGCGGCGCTCCGAAACAGCAGGGATCCCTTCTCCGGCTAAAAATGGAACAGCGACGCTCTGTGCCAGCTTTGCTGTCACTGCAAGCTTTGAGGTGAAGCTCGAGAGGGCGGCAGAATCGAGGGAGTGCTGGTCCACTGCTCAGGGCTCGCATCGCACTGCCTCTGCTTTTGTGAAGAGTTGTTCAGAATCTTCTTCGACTCGAGGTGCTTCCACCCAACAGCCTTGGGGCTGTTTGGGGCTGAGTTCGACTGCACAGCCAGGGTACCAGCCGCCAAGATAAGCGCAGAGTGGTCGGAGAGCAGTGAGATCAGACATTTGCCGGTTTGGTAGCAGCAGCCATCTGTGTTGACATTCTCTGCTTGTGCCTCATTTGAGGTCCCGTGGGAAGTCCTTGCCAGGCGCAGGCCCTCTGTTGCAGAAGAAGGCCCCTTCTGGGTCAGCGATGACCCTTGTGCCAGAGCACGTCGAGCAAGCTCGGAGGCAGCCGAACCCTTCGCGCATGGTTGACAGTGCCTGGCCTAGGAATGAAGAATGGTTCAACACTGCAGGGAGACTTCTGCATGCCATTCAGCGATTCATGAGACTCAGACTCGGGATTCTGTCCGACACTTAGGCACAGAGGGACAGAGGGAGGCCTCGGCAAACTGTCATGAGAGAACCTGGTGCCAAGAAAGGGGGGAGTGAACTCAACGGCATCAGACGTGAAGGTGCTGTCCATCCCTGATGGCAGAGCTTGCCGCGCCTCTGAAGTCAGAAGGGCAGCAACGAATCAGACAAAAGTAAAGAGCAGTGGGTGCTGTAATTACTGCATAGCCGAGGTTAAAGCAACAGCAAGAGAGCATGATCAGGGCAGCATGCGGTTGCACGCTGGAGATGCTCCCGAGAAAGCTTGTTGCGAGGGGTTGGGGCGGTTAACACTTTGAGAGCCCTTAATTGCTATACACTTGAGCACCCTTGCCTTGCTTCGTTCTCGAAAGCTCGATGTTCCAAGGTCCAGCCGCTCTTTGACGCTGCCTCTGCTGGACCCTCGGACGTGACCACTGCTGCGTGATCGCTGCGAGCTTGAGGCAAAGGTGCAGGTGGGCAGCGGTCTGGGCAGGGGTCCTGGCTGCGATCTCGGCTGAAGCATGTTTCGCCCCTTCGGCTGTGCAAGGGCCGCAACTCTGCTGTGCTTCAGGCACCGAACTCGTTTTCTGTCATGCCCTTCACATTTTTTGCAGATCTTCGCAGCTTGAAGCAAAGATTGCAGGCGCGGCAGGCCAGCAGCAGACGGCTTTCGTCGTGGAGCCAGCTGCCTGGCACAGCTGTCCCCGTGTCACCGCTACCCGCTACCAGTGCCTCCGAAGAAGCCGTGAGATGTTCGTTTGTCCATTCTCAACCAATCCAGGCCGCAAGCACTACATGCCCATACCTTAAACTTGCATACTTGGTCGTATCTCGCGACACTGCCCTTTCAGAGTAACTCAGGCTTTCGACGCAACTGATTTGCTTGGGCTACACTCCCAATGTACTTTGGCACTGTTGGCCTAGGAATCGCTTGCTACCACCGTGTGCTTGAGACCTGCGTTGGTGGCCGCCTCATCGTCGCAAGTCGATATGGCTGTTGACAGCAAGTCAGACCTTGGCCAAGACTAAGGTGTTCATGAACGCGCTTCCACTAGGCCGACGATCGTCACACAAAAGCCCTTGTGTTTGCAACATGTGCTCCAGGAGATCTGAGCATCAGATATGCTCCGGGTGCGGGGGAAGTCGTTCCCTGAGTCTTGTAGCATGGGTCTGCGATAAATCTGGCACTCTTTCTTCACATCCTGTGCCATGTAACGAATTGGGCTGTTTGCCAGAATCTTCGGGACATGTTCTTGCCAGTGAGCCCTGAATCCCCGCGTCTCACATGCTTGCAGCTTCTGGCGCAAGACGACTCATGACTGAGGCTGAGGATGCTGGCGCTCAGTGGCAGCAAGTGTCGTTGGAGAGGCTCGCAAGGCCGGAAATTCTCCGCTTGGAGCTTTTGCTGAGCTGAGCCTTGTTTTGTTTTTACCTCGCTGGCCAGGCGTGGGGTATACAACTTGCAAAGCTTGGTGGAGGACCGGCTGCACGCTCCAGAAGAGATGCAGTGAGAAGTGTGCCCTTGAGGAGGTTGGCTTGAGACTTTGCTTGCGGCCTGCATCTCAGTAGTGTGTGCTTCGTGTGTTTGGTCGGAAGACCTCGCGAGACCACGGCCGCGGCCCTGCAAGGCTTGGCACCGTGGCGCCGTGGTCTGAGGTGCTCCACATCGAGGTGCATGGACCCTAAAAGTTTACGAAAGACGGGCGAATGCTGCGCCGCTGCGTGTTCGCCAGGCCAACTGCTTCAAGCAGGCACGGCAAAATTGCACTGGTCGCGCGCAGAGTCGAGAGTGTCGTTTTGAAAGGCAAATGATGCGTCGTCGATGGACTTTGGCCAAACTGCCCACGTTCAGCAGCATGCAGGCGGGCCGGCCCGTCGCCAGCACTGCTATTCATGCTCTCGTCGCTCCACTTTTCGTAGGCCACGTATTGTAGAGGCACGAAGCCATGCATGATGTTGATCTGCACGAGCGAGGGGCCTGTAACCCAAATTGATCCAAATTGCACTTCGTGCTAAGTTCGCGCAGGCTGTAAGTGTTTCACAATTCTTCAAAGCGTGCCCACGCGTTGCCTGAGTCTCGAAAATGGCGAGGCGACGCCGGAGCCGCTGCTGGGGTTTTGGTCGAGGTGTCGGAGCCTCACAGGTTTCGCTGTGTTGAGTTGAACATGGTTGAACCTTTCACACTTTAACCGTTTCATTCCATGCAAATGATGCTCCACGACAAGGTGCGGCCAAGCAGAGGCGAGCCTGAAATCTGTGTGTTTTTGCTTGGCATGCCATCGAGATGCAATTTATTGTCCGAGAAACTTACTTGGCGAGGGTCGACTTGCCCTGATCGGATCCTGCTCAATTATTGCCACACCTCCTGGGCTCTGCAGATTCGCATCACGTGCCCCTTTTGGTTTCTAGACCGATCCGGGCAGCAACCTCAGTTTTTTGCAGTTGAATTGCGCATGCACGGCCAGCGACATTGGTGCCCGTGACGTTTTAAGAATCGGGAAGCCGCTGGGTCTTAGCGTTCTTCATGGCCGAGCACCCGGCTCCTTGTTGCTGCATCACTGCGTTTCACATCGCCGTCTCGGCTGAGGCGGTAAGCCTTTGCCACATGATGAAGGCGCCATCTTCTCAGAGTCACGTCGCATCGATTTCTTCGTTCTCGAACCCGAAGACCAGGGTGATACTACGGTGTATGAAATAAACAGTTGGAACACAGACGGCCCTGGCAGCCGCGAAGGTCACCATGCTCCCTGTGAACGGTTTGCAAGAGCACTGCGAGCTGCTCCTTCGCTGGATGCCCGATTTTGCCTGGTGATCATCTGCTCACGCGGACTTGCGGTGCGATCTGGACCTGCCGCAGCCAAGGAAGTAGTAGAACTCCAGGCTGACATGGCTTGCTGCATCTAGAATCTCCAAAATCTAGATTCAGTATGGCAGTCTAACCTTGCAATCATGCAACACCCCTTGAGGCATGCTTTAGAAGTCTATAACAACATGCTGAAGACAGGGAGTCGTTTCTTCGTGAGCTCAGCTGGTGAAGCCACTTCCCGAGATACTTGCGCCAAAACCGCCGAAGTAAATTTCATTTCGCAGGATAACTCCGGATTTGTCTAGCTGTGCTTCATGGGAAGCCTGTTGTGCAACGTCTCTTCAGCCAACGCTGCTCTTCTGGTTGTCAACCATGCTGCAAGCAGGCCGGGCAGTTTCTGTGCACGTAGCACACCGGATATTTCAGCTACGAGGGAAGGACGATTGGGGTTGTCTTGTGAGTTGATGCTGGAAAGTATTGACAGTCCCACGGTGGTCAGACTGTATATGGGAGCCAAAATCCCACTGCTTGACTCGGGGGCTCTTGGGTGGGAGGTTACAGACAATGCAGAGTTGTTGTACAGGGTCATATACAGAGTACAGGCTGGCAGGGTCCGAGCAGCATCGATGCATCGTCAGCTGGTGATGACAACAAGTGGAATTTCGTGCAAGGGCATGACGACATGAGACCTGTGACAACAACAGGCACGGAGTTGATGGCCACCAGGAATGTCATGTTGGAGCAGATGAAGGACATGCGACTTGGACGGATACATCTGCAACGTCCGGCTTGGTTTGATCTTGCAGAATCGACTCATGGTTGCTGAGGCCAGCCATTCCACCAGGCGTCAACAAAGAAGCACCTCGGAGAGCAAGTAGTAACCATCAGCCGTTGCAAGAGCCGTTGGCTTTGGTAGGGACTGGCAGGGCAGTTGTATATGTTGTATGAACAACCTTTGGAGGTGTGCCTGAGCCCTGGTGTGAGAATGAGCATCAGGCTTCACACCGCCCACGCCCCCATGTCTTCTTCCACAGCCCAAGATCACCGAAAGAGACCTTTGCAAACAGCCAGGTAGACTTATCTGGGAGTAGAAAGAAAAGTGAAAGCACACTGTGTTCTGAGGAGCTCCTCGAGGAAGTCGCCAAGCATACGATGCTTCTTGGCCCTTAAGCTGGGCTCCGCCTTAGCTGCCTTAGCTCTCTCAAAGGGAGCCCCGCGCTTTCAGAGGAACTTATGGATTTGCCTCATCAAGCGGTGTGTCCAAGGCACGACGACTGGTCATGCGCAGGCGGCCCACCCAAGTTGATGGGCGACGAGCTGCCCGGTCTCCGCAGGAACCTCATTTTGGGATCTGACAGGCTGAGAGTCAGATCAGACAGCCGCCCGCGCACAGGCTACGGCGCCAGCCTGGAGATACGACCGAAGCTCCTTGTTCTGCCTGGTGCCTATTGCAGAAGCCATCCGGCATCATCGGGCTTCAGCGTTCTGGTTGTCAGATGCTCAGACTCAGGCCTTGTCCCTGTCCGGGCGGCTATTTCAACAAGGCCCTCTGATGTTGAGAGGCTCGGGAGATGGACGGATGTGCGTGAGGCGTGCGCCTGCCTCAGGCCTGGCGTGACAGCTCGGGATCCCTGCAGCACGGAATCTCAGATCGCAGCGTCTGTTGACCTAGCCGAAGAGGGATCTGATGGCCGTGCACTGCACAGCGACTCTGAGAAGGCCAAGTGGCTTGTGGGCAAAATGGCCCAAGCCTGAAGAGGACTTCGTCCTGAAACTGGATAATTTGAAGTTTCTGCTTTGTGCTTCTTCTTCCAAAACTCTTGTCCAGGATGTGCACACTTCCTTGCCGCCGCTCTTTCACGATGCCTCAGGGTCTCCGTGGGATTCTCATGCCAGCGATGTTTGCAGAGATATGTGGCTTTGCGCGGTTGTTCGATATGGTTCGGAAACCGGGAGTACAAGGAGCGGAACAGACAGCCAAGTGACACCGCAGTCCGCGACTTAACCTGGCGCCGGGAGTGGCACAAGAGTCACAAGACTATTACCATGGGTCTTTTCAAGTCGACTGTCGTCTGCGCTGCTAAGCTCCTGCACAAGGCAGGCTTCTTCGCCGCATGATGCCTCCAAGCCAGGGGCTCGATGCCGTGTAAGGATGCGGCAGCGCTGGCTCTGGTCAAAGGAGAGCACTTTGAAGCTGTAATGAGGCCCGACTCTTCCTTCGCATCAAGCAGCCACGACGACAAAACGCCGTTGTCCTTCAATGCGATGGGTGCCTCCGTCGGGGAACTGTTGGCAGCCTGCGGTCGTAGTGACTTTATAGTGATGAGCAGAAACTAGCTGGATGTACTGGCATCGCTTGCAGCGTGGCTTCAGGTGTTGACATTGCCGGCAGACTCGCCACTGCTGCGGGAATCGGTGGCCTGCAGCCGGCCTGCACCTGCGGTTTTCGATCTCCGAAGCTCCTTTTTTGCGACCTTCGGCTTCGGCAACACCGCGAACCGGTTCGAACCGATACTCCGAAGCTCCGCTTTTCGACCTTTGGCTTCGGCGCGAACCGCAGGTATCACCCTGCAAGCGAGCCCTACTCGGCGGACTACGGCTGCGCAAAGGCGAAGTTCCACGTAAAAGCTTTTGCACAGCAGCCATGGCAGCCATGTTGTCATATCAGGGGTTCATGAAGTCGAATGGCCCCCTGGGGGACATGAAGCCAGGCCCTTCGCTCTGCATGTGATTTCGTCGACAATGCACAGCATGCAACCCACATGCAGTGCTTTGCCTGGAAACGATGACTGTGCCCTGCGATGTGCACATAGACAAAGTCTCACGGGCTTCGCATCGCTTCGCAGGAAAGAGATGGTGGAACATGCCCGATCATTCTGAGGCGGGTGTCGGAGAGCACACGAGTGTGGACGTTGTTCGTGGCTTGAACGTCCAGCCAGGTGGCTATAGCGACACCATGTCCGTGCATGCTTGGTCCGTATACCAACCTGAAACCGCAGCTTCACGACAAGCTGACAGAGGCGTTGGGCTTCATAGTTCGTTCCCAAACTAGAAGCTACAGCCAGTGGATCAGAGTCCTGCATCGTTCCTGGCATATGTGCCTCCAGCCCCGTCCCAGGCGTTGGCTAGAGAGCGCGGGCAGCCTGATGATGAGTGGAAGAACTCCGCCGATGACCGCTTCCTGCAAGCAGTCATGCGGAGAAATCGTACAGCTCAGATCGTGCTGTCAGGGCAAAGGCAGCATTGCTGCGCTGGTCGCTCCAACTCTGCTCGGATCCTTGTAGTATTTGCAGAGAAGTCGCTCCTAACTCCCAATTGCATTTACATGGGGAAATGACTTTGGATGTAACCCTGGTCATGCGGTGGATGCTTGATTTGTCGAGGAAGTAGCAGCGGGGAAGCAGTTTGGGAAGTCATATGGGCCAGAGACGTTGTCATGACTCATGACAGCTATGACACGCTAGATCGTTGATGGCATTTGCTTGCGTTTACATGGTGCTTCGAGCATGATGGCTGGTTCTCCCCATCGTCACGGGCTCGCCCTGCACGGTAGAAGGCGAGTGCTGCACCACTCTGCGCTCGAATTGGAAACCTCATTGACGCATAAGTCAGTTTGTGGAACATGTCTCTTTGTGTCGCTGAGTAAGAAGTGCTGTTAGTACCTCCGTGGCCCATGAGCCTAAGGGGCGCTGTGCCCGCGAAACATTTTTGTATAGGATGTTGGGCACAACCTGGGGCTTCGGGTATTGTTTGCCCTTCTGCGGCTGAGGCTACACTATTGGTGTGCCCAAGGTGCCAGAGTGGCAGTCGGCGACACTTGGCAAGGGGTTTAAGTCCCATGAGTGGCAGGTATACTAGTTACCAAAAATGTGTTCTCGAGGCCAAGCGACTGCCAACTATAGGTGTGCAGCTAAGGGCTGGAGGCTTGCGCCTTGGCCACATGGGCAACTTGGCAAGCAAAGTCTTGGGATGCAAGCTGCAAGCATTCATTCTTTCTGTCATGCTATTGAAGCGTGACCGAGCGACAATGGGCACATACTCCTAGACGCGCCGGAGGGGAAAAGAACTGTTCGACGAGCATCAAGATTTGCTGAGGATGTGCGCTCGTGATGTTGGCCGCTCCTTGGTTGAAGTCATACTTCAACATTGGTCTCCTCGACTGCTTGCACCGACCCGCACTCAGTCTCTTGACAGCCGAGGCGGGCCAAAGTTTGCCTTCGATGCTGACCATTCCGCAACTCGATGCAAAACGGCAACAGCAACTGTAACCAACTTCTGTGCAAGCCAGGCCGTTTGCAAAGTTTTTTCCGGAGCATAGAGGCTACTCAGCAGTTGCCTGGCGCTGCTTGTGCAGGCACAAACGATCGGATGCTTTGTGGCACTTTCTGTAACTGTGCCCGTCGATTCTCGGTAGCTGGCAGGGCATGGTGTGCATATCGTTTCACCTGAAGCTCATGCTGAGCTTATTAGCTGCTGCGCCTCTAGCCAAGCGCAGTCCGTTGAGCAGCTCAACAAAAAAACATGCAGCCCGCATGCGACATGGTGCAGCATCACGGTCTGGAATACTCTGAGATGTTGGACATCGCTGGGGGAGCGGGCATGGTCCGTGCCCGAGGAAGCGACCATGATTCATTGGCGCTTTTGGGTTGCCACCTCGGATCTAGTCCTGACCTCCCCGCACGTTTTCTCCTGTGACAGTCATGGAAGCAGTCGCAGGTGTTTGGGGGTTGCTGCACGGTGCAAGTACTGGTCTAGGCCTTCCATCGCCAAGCAGTCCGGCGCCCAGCTTGCTTTGCATAGGAGGTGCTCAGCGGTGCATGCCAGCTTGCATCTGCAGACCCCTCGAGCAGGCATTCTGTTCTGAGTTACTTGTGTACACGTTCGTGGCCGGGAGGTTGGGCAACCCTGTTCTGGGAAACCCCATGCGGCGATTTCAGCTTCTGTTTGCAAGCCCACGGCTCAGAAAAAACGTTGAGCAGGGTCGACCTGGTCCGGTCCGCGCCGGAACTTAGAGATCAGCTTTCCCGCTCCCGCGCGTTTGCCTATAGGTTTCGGACATCCCCGAGACTGAGTCCGGGAACATCTTCTCGGCTGGATGCCAGGTGTGGGTTGCATTTGGTTGCATGCGGCTTCTAGCCTAGCCAAGTGAAGGGAGGGCAGTTTCATGTCGGGGGAGGTCATTACCTTGCGCCCCCGGCTGGTCTTGACCAATGCTTCGACTCTGGATATTGAGCTGTGTCTTGGCCGCAGTACGTGGGGCAGCAACCTCGAGCCGTTGCTAAATAGTCCTGCACGCAGATTCTGATCAGGTGCCTCGAGGAGCACCGGCGACTGCGCCTTGCTGGTGATCAGTCCATCGAGGCATCCAGCTGTAGTGTGTTGGGAGCTTATCGTGGCGTCACATCGCTGCCGCAGGTCCACTGGCGCCCCCGTGAAGCTCACGAGCCCTCCGATTCGTTTCCGCCTCAGCGACCTGCTCAAGTATCTTCGATCAGGAAAGAAGCAGCCGCAGGCCCCATTTCCTGCAGGTGTTACGAGTTTTCGATTCGGGGCATGTCAACGAGGCACGCAACGACTTTGCGTTTCCGACCTCTACGCGAGGCCGAGCTGAGGGTTACATATAGGCGCAGTCTTCCGATTCTTGAGCTCTTCTGCGCCTGGAAGGTCTGCGAGACTGCTTGGTCGGGAAGCGTGGTGTGCGGCGATGTCTCGGCCGGGTTGCTGGGAACCCGAAAGCCAAGCACTGCCTACAGAAACTCTCGACAGAGTCACCGAGTAAATTAAGCTGTCTGTATATTCCTGCAGTCTCATCCTGTCTATTCCTGTCTTGTCATGCACATCGGGTTGAGAAAGGATACGTGCTGGCGTTTCTCTGGAACTCGCTGTTGTAATCTACGCAGCTGGACGCCCAGGTCGGCCTTCGCCATACCTGCAGGGGAGGCCGGTGAAACAACAGGAAGTGGCCACCAAGACAATCACGACCTGACAGTGCAAGGATGGACAAGATGAGACAGCAGAGCAGGACACATGGAGTGTCGAAGTTACGCCAGACCGCGCGATCCCGAGAAGCTGCAGTGAAGCAGGGACTGAGCAGCTGCGTGTAGCATGCTGGTTAAGGTGGTGCACTGGCCGTTTCGTTCAAGCAAGGTGCCTTCCTTAGCCACCGTGCGACAGCACACTCGACTTCCTGCAAGTCGGATGGCTTCATGTAGAGGTAGCTCCATTTTGGCATTTGCGCGTCGAGGATCGGATTATGTTGCGCGAAACCTGGTGCAGCGGAGCGGTGCAACTTTGCCGCGCACTTTGAGTTCTGTGTTCAATGTCTGGTCAGGCGAGTCAAGCGTTGGGTAGTTGATGGCAGTTGCACCTATACATGTATGTGTCTACAGTCTATGGGTTAAATACTTGTATCTTAGTAGCTACAGTTGCTACAGCTACAGTTTAGAACACACACAGACACACACACACACATTATATATCTATGTGTGTGTGTGTGCGTATATGTATATAATGTATATACATATAAGTATATATATATATATATGTACATGTACATGTATATATACATCTATGTATTACTTTATGTATGTATGCATATTATATGTCTATGTGTATGTATATATATATACATATGTATGTATGTACATGTACAGAGATACAGAATTGTACGTGCATCGTGTATTCGTTTGCATATCTGCATGGGTGCATGTATATACATACACACACATATATATATGTATATATACTTATAGTAACAATTGTTACTGTAATTGATGATGATGATGATGATGATGGTGATGATGATTCTTATTGTTGTTATTATTATGATTCTGGATACTGTGATTGTGGATTTTCTAGATGCGCACATTTTACATGTGTATACATATATAGTGGTTTATATGTATGTATGTGTATATATGTATATATGTGTGTGTATGTATATATATATACATACATACATATACGTACATACATACACACACATACATGCATACATAAATACATGTATGCATGTATGCATACATACATACACACATACATACATACATACATACATGCATATATCTATATGTATGTATGTGTATACATATATATATATATATTTATGGTGTATTTATTTATTTACTTATTTATACGTATGCGTACATACACACACACACAGAAACTCGTACACACACACACACACCCAATCGTACGTACATACACACAGGCATACATATTCACATACATACAGGCATATCTACACACAAAAATTGCATACAGGCATACATTGATACATGTCATACATGCATGCATACATGCCTACAGGCCTTCCCACATGCGTATAGACATACATACACCCCCACAGAGGCGCGCGCACGCAGTGAATGTCGCCTGGCTCACATAACTCAGGTCTGTTCAGCCTGCAGGCTGCCGCCATGGCAAGGCACGGCCCTGAATCCTGTCAAGAAAGGTCTGATGCTGCGGCCAAGCATACCCTGCAGCAGGCCCTAAAAGGCCCTACAGTCCCCACAGTTCCGGAGTGCCCAGTGCTTAGGATGGCAGCTTGGCAAGTTTTCCGTGCTACACCACGGGTTCAAGACTGTAGAACCCAAGCTTAGTTGTAGCAGCAGAGCAACGTGCACGGCGAGAAACCTCAGCGTACTCGAACGGATCTAGCGGCTGCTGACTTGGATTGGATCAGCACTCTAAAACAGGAGCCTGCCATAGCCTGCCGCATGTTTCAACACATGTCGATGCGCAAGTGTGATGTACTGCACCAGTCTTCGCAGTCGCAACAGGCCGGGGACTGTTCACCCGGGAACTGGGAGAAGAGGCAACCAAACACGTGTCAAAGCCTTCTTCATTGTTCCGAAACAGCGTGCCTTTGCCAGGAAGGACACCAAGGAAAGGCACCAGGAACTACTCCTGGAGCGACTTTCTCTTGGGCAGAGGGCTCTGCGTAAAATCCGATGGCAGATCAGTGGATCTATGGTTATCACTGGCCTTGTCATGGCCCTCTCGGTTATGACTTGGTGCCTGCAACGCATGAAGCTTGAGTCCTCAGCAGAGCCTGCTCGACACTGTGAACATGCTCGCAAGACATGGACAGCATCCCGGCGTGTACAACGTGCAACCGAGGCTCTTCATTGATGTGCGATTGGAAAGCTCGCATCGGATCCCTCTGACAGTCGGCTGGGCAGTTTGTGCAATCGGGATGGAGTCTCGACAGATGGTCCTGTGCGATGCTACTTGTGACTTGTGAAGATGCTTGCTGCACAAGGGGCCTGTCCCGACAGTTCTTCAGCAGATGACGGTTGATTGTTTCTTCCAGAGCAGGAGGGAAGTGAGCGTTGAAATTTGGCTTAGAATTTCCCCCTCGCTTCGCACTGCGGATGCCTCTGTGAAGTGTTCAGTGGCAGTCGCGCTTAGTCTGGCCAGTCTTATCGAGTTTTGCTAGGGCCTGCAAAGCTGGAGCATATGTCGATGTAGCAGCGATTCCATGCGCAAAAGGTATCATAATGATAGTAACAGCACTAACGAAGCATTGGGTTAACAATTAGTTGAATGGTACCCGAACAGGGAGCAAGAATATCTATCCGTTATATTCTTTGATGTTTTATGTGTGAACATGTCATGGAGCACGTGCACACATGTCATATATACAAAAAATATATATATATATATGTGTGTGTGTACATATATATAGACACACAAACCTGTGTCTACATGTGTGGCGTGGAGCAGCAACGACTAGCGACAGTCGAAGCATCCGAAGAAGAACGCCGAGAGATGAGAAAACGCCGCCATGAAGATGCCGACCGGGAACCGTGGGGACAGCACCACAAACGAGAGAATGCTGCGACAGGGGAGTTGTAACAGGTAGACACACGCCCTCTGTCGTATCGCAAGAATACTGGAGCACCAATGCGATCTTCCTGCTCAGGCATGCTTTGCCTCAGCTCCTCTGCCAGATGACACGATTTTGACACGGCTGTCTATCTCGGGCGTGACGCTTTTGTGCCTCGTGTTCGCTAGCTTCGAGACTTGGCAGTAGCAATCCGATCTTGTGTGGCATGGCTCTCCACAAGATCTCTTGTGCGGAGCCAGTCAAGAATTGAGTGGCAATCTGTACATGGGCCCAACGTTGCAAAATTGCGTCGTTTATTCATTCTAAGGAAGTTTTCATCCTGCTCAATCAAGAGCACGCCATGTGCGGATGCTGAGCCATGTCTTCAGTTCCTGCACGAAAGGCTGCATTCCCGCGTAGGGTGTCATGGGCGGCGGCTTTGTAAGAACCCATTGATCGCCTATTTTGAAGAGCAGTCCCATGCGATGCCAAGGGGACTGTGATGCGAGCAATCGGACGACGTGTATTTGGTTCCTTGGCGAGTGCGTGGGAGGCCAAGCTGGCATTCTTCTGAAAGCGAGAATGCCAGATAATGCCTGCACTCTACCGAGGGTTGGAATGTTCTTTGGAACTTGGTCTCATTCCTGGGCTTCCTGACTACGGCTTCACAGCCAAACGCGGACAAAATGCAGGTCAGCAACTTGTCCCACAAAAGCACTCCTCGGGTGCTTGACGCTTGTTGTAAGTTCATCATCATGCGGATCCTCTGTGCCTCCGCACTTTCATGACTTGACTTCAGAAGAGCATCTGCAGAGTAATATGGCAGGGTACTCAAGCGCCGTGACTGTCAGCGCAGTCTTGTGTAGCGGATCTGTCTCACGGCGTTCTGCGGTTCCCGGCTATTCCCTGCGCTTTATCGCATTGCACGAACATGTGGTCCCCAGTGCGCAGCGTAGGACTTATAGTGTCGGCTGGACTTGCTTCGACACATGTCTTCTTTCAGTCTTGGGGTGAGGTTTGTGCGACCTGGTCAGCGAAGCGGGTGGGAAAGAATTAGTGTGGGTTGGAACCAGGTCTAAGGCCTTGTGGAATTCTGTGTCGACAAGCACGCTGATGCTTTGAAGGCTCTCTCTTGAGACACTATGTCACCGGCGTCTATCGAAGCCCGTTGACCCAAAAGGTTCGGCTTCAAGTTTCATCCTCGTCTCGCACTTGCCCATGAGTTCATAGTCATATAATTCTTCTGCGTTGCATGTTATATCGATCAAGTTCCAAACTGTACCGTTCGACGTAGCGTACTCAGCAGCAAGCACGAACTCCATCAGATCCCGGCGACAAGCCCAGGCTTCTGGCGAATGTGGAGCATATTCTTTCGAGTCAATTTTGCCGTAGCTCCTCTGCACACCGTCTGGGTGTTCCCGGGCAGATGCGCAGACCAGTCTTTCGATGCAATCAGGTCGACGCTCTGGTCCTCATCCTCAACCGCTTCTTTATACACGTCAGCTCGACTGCCATCATCTTCATTGTCGGGGATTCCTTCGGTGTGCCGCTTGGTTGAGATCGATGGGGAACTGGGCCCGAGTTATGGCGACATTCCCGGACACTAGTCGAACAAGCAATCAATATCTTCGCTCTACAGCCGCCAGTAAGTGTGGAGCTGAGGCTGTTCAGCTTTTTTCCAGAGCTTCGACATCGGCTGCATGCTGCACTCCACCGTTATTTCAAGGATACGGAGCGGACGGCTGCGGCCGTTGGTGTGGCCTTGGCCCGAGCTCGACAAGCAAAATGCGGAGCCACCGCTCCGTACAGCTCCTCGTTTGACTGAGGCGAGCTTGATTGGAGCTTGTGATATCAACGTGGCGCTGAAGAAAGCAGAGTCCCAATTCCGCATAATTGACTGCGACATGCTCCAGAAGCACGATCTCAGTTCTTGCCTTAGGACTGACTTAGTTTGGTCGAGGCCTTTCATGATGGATGGTTGTCGCAGCATTTCCGCGAGCTCCTTTTTGTTGAGCCAGGCGACAATCAGCCTTCTCTTCACCTTTTCGAGCTTTCGCGACCCGCGTCATTGGGCAGCTGTGATGCCTTCGTGTCCCACTCTTGGCGCGACGATGCAGATGCCAAGTGGGATGCCTTGCAGTCCTGGAAGCAAGCCTTCAGTTCTCGCTTTGGACGTTCTCCAAGTGTCTGGCTGGACAAAGCATGACACTTGGAAGCAGTTTGAGCCATGCCCACCTTCGGCGTCTGCCAGTGCGCTGTCCCGGCAAGGCATCAACCAGCAGGACATCGAAGCCAACTTGCGGAGCTTGCCCATCTTCCTTTCAGGATGCGAAACTCTTTTGATACTCTGCGGGACCACTTATCTCAGCAGCTGCTTGCTTAAACATAGTGCTAGCGCACCCGTGTTGGGCCCATGCGAATGCTGCACCTGGCGTGGAGAGGGGACTGTTCAGACTGCCCGGACTTGTCGACCAAAGAGCTGAGGACTGTGGTGCATACTTGAACTTTTCACCTTCGTACACATGGGTGGAAAGCCGTGTGACATCGATTGTGTCCTGCTCGTTGGACCAGATCAATCCGACATCACAGCCATCGGCAACCAATGCAACTTCGGCAGTACTACAGAGTTTTGCTAGGGCACCTAGTTTTTCACGAGGTATTGAACAGTTACTGCCATCTTAGCATGAACGAGTCGCAAAGCACTGGGTTCCCAAAGCTTCTGTTGTGTCTTGCTTCACTGCGGAGGCAAAAACTTCGATGCCAGCGGGTGTGATTGTTCAGTACCGGCTGACAAGGATCTTGCCGCCAGAGATCAAGTTTGTGACAGGCATTGCTCGAAGAGCCCCCAACCCAGGGCACAGTCTCCAGACCCTCTGGCTTGCTGAATTCGCCCTGAGCTACTGTACTGACCACGGCTCTTCGTACTGCTCCCAACAAATGTTGCAGCTTCATGAACCTGTCCATGCCTGTCTTGGCATCTTGAGCCGAAAGGTTAATTCGAGCTCAATATTGGGTTGTTCCAAAACTGCAGTTTCTGTTTGTGCGGAGACTCACGCTTGCCCCCGGGTTCCAACAGCACCTGAAAGATTGAAGACTCACTGTTGGAATCCTGCATGCCCGGTGCCGATCACACCTGCTGTCTCGTCTGTGCAGGAGACAATTCTCAACATCATCCACACAGCCTTTGGGACTATTGACTTGTTCAATGACTCAGTCAGGAGGATTATGCGGCGGATCGTCGGATTGTCCGCGGACAGGCATCTCGTTTCATTATATGCCTTGTGTGGTGAGGGGTAGTCAGGTAAGAAGCCTGAGTGGATATTTCAGGGGGTGTGCGGAGACGTGGGGAGACCGGAGACCATGAGCACCGGCTAACTTTGTTTTACGTGTTACGTGGACGACTACATGCACTAGACCCTAGCCGCATTGCCGATGCTCACTCCCTCGCTGCACCAGAATACGCTAGGTCTGACAGGCTTCACGAAAGGCTTCAAGCTGTTGGGTCTCCGGGAGGGTTTTGTGGTGGCAGCACAAGCAGCAGCAGAACTTTGCAGGCACAGGTTTGATTTGCATCGGTGCCACAAATCGTGCCCACCGAAGGGGAGCACTCACGCAGGGAAGCATGTGGCATACTGCATGCTGACAGAGAGGCATGACAGGCAGGCGACGCAGTTCTCCAAGGTTCACTATGCTGAGTCCCGGCGACTTGGATGTCACTTAGTTACTGCCTCACCATACGTACGGCCTGGGTTTCCGCTGTTTCGGACTAGGCCACTAGGTCCTAGCCTGGTCTTCCGTAAAGAAGGTAGTTAAACTAGGACGGCTTCAGTTGGCAACTCTGCTCTGCATTCTGCAAGCCCCATCCATGTTCTCGAGATGGTTCTAGGCTCGCCTCTCATCCCGCGTGGCGCTAATGGACCAGTGAGGTGCGGCGAGCGATGCCAGCAGCGACAGCTCCGATTCAGGATATCCTTCAGTCAGCAGCCAAAGCAGCAGCTGAGTTTGACTTTCATAGGATGCCGCGAGCCTTGTGAGACTCGGCGCATCTCTGTGGCCATGCGAAAGCAAGTGCCGGACGGATGTGTTTCAAAAATGGCTTAGCATTGCACGGGAGAGCGTTTACACAGGGTCCCTCTCTGTCTATCTCTCTCTCTCTCTCTCTCTCTCTCTTTCTTGCTATCTCCTTCTCTACATAAGGGCATGGATACACGTGCTCTTGAATAGCGAGACTGCAAAAAAGACAGACAAACAGACAGGCATCTCGAACCCATAGCGGTAGCAACCGGGTCAAACCCGAATGGTGTCCCGGGCGAGTGTGTTCCAGCTCATGGGATCGAAGGATTGAAGACTGATGTTTCAGACTTCGGGTCTTGCAGGATTGTAAAGGTGGCGAGAGATTTGGGCACGTTGGTATGCGCAAGGGAGCTGGCTTCACACTTGTTACTTCAAACTCGAAAGTCACCCTTTACCAGCTCAAGCTCCAAACTTCAGCCGCGGCCGACTTCGATCAGCTCTCGAAGATTGAAAGTTCGCAGTTCTTTGCGAATTCGACTGTTTTAAAAGTTCGAAAGCTCGGAGTTCGAAAGGTTCGCTGCAAGTTCGGCTCGCCACGCTCGTCGAAAGTTTCGAGATTAGAGGTTGGGAGTTGGAAAGTTTGGACAGCAGGAAAGTTCAAAGGTTTGAAGGTTTGGAAGATTGAAAGCTTGAAGCTTCAAGGGTTCAGTTCGACCGTTTGCAGTCCGCCCAGCTCCGAGTCCTAAGCTTGGGAGTTCGAAAGTTTGACAGCTCGAAGGTATGCAAAAGTTAAAGTTCGAAAGGCCCGGCACTAGGCGGGTGCATGCACTTTTGGCTCGTGCTCGGCTTGCAGTGGGCCTGTGCTCGAAAGACGGTTCGTGGCAGCACAAGCATGCTGACATCCGCCCTCTCAGTGGGCGATGGCTGTTAATGACATGTCTTGCACCCGCCCCCTCATCAAAAGATGGCGGTTGATCACATCTCATGAGCCCAGCCCCTCCTTAGGCGAACTTCCCTGCACGGCGACTTCGTCAGCTGGGCGGGTGGGCCAAGTTAGGCGACGGTGGCAGGTCCCTTTCCTTAAGCCCCCGGCCCAACTAAACGATGACGGTCGATCACATTTCTGAGACCCAACAGGCGATGACGGACAATTGCATTTCCGAGCCCGTCCCATCATCACGCGATTGCGACTTCGGCTTATCACATGTGACAAGCCTTTCCCCCACATCACTGTCAAATTCACTCCCTCGTTAAGCGATGAGGGCTGATAACCTTTACCGCCCCCTCATCCGGCGTTGGCGGTTCGTCACATGTCTTTACCAGAGACCTCGCCCTTCTTTGCCTATGCCTAGTCGTGAATTCTTAAGCCCGCCCCCTCATGAGGTTATCCCAGTTGATCACCTCTCTTAACTCCGCCTCCTTTATGAGGCGATGGCGGTTGTAGGTTGGTCTGGCACCCCGAAACTCTAAATTGCAATCCCATACTCAAGACATAGGCTGCGAATGCCATGTGATACACGTACAGCATAAAACCACCTCTCAAATTGCACGCTTTCAAGCTCAAACTTTTCATTTTCCGTTTCAATGATCTAAAGCATGTCGTGTTCCAAATGTCCAAACTCTGAAGGGTTAATCCCTCCAGGCCTGTGTCTTACAAACCGTCAAAGAAAGAAAGGGCGATCCTTCTTGAACCCTCAAACTTCTTAACCTCGGACTCCTCAAACTTCAAATTCCAACCTCTCAAACTCGAGCTTGCGAGGCGCCATGTGGGCCCTCCCATGTCCCCCACGTTTGTCGCACTGGGTGCGTCGCCGCGGCTTCACACCTTCAAACTGGATCCCCATTCAACCGTTCAAGCTCCAAACTCGATCCTGTTCTCAAGCTCGAAACCGTTCCGGCCTGCAAACTCTAAACTCTTCATTCTCCAGACTTAATTCAGTGTTCAAGCTCCCCAATCTCGCCCTCCGTTTTGATACGTTCAAGCGTCAACTCAAATTGTCGTTTAGCTGAGATCTTCTTTGACTGCCGAGGACTCTGTACTGTGACCTGTGTTGAGTTCGGTTTGTGCTACCGTTGTGGACTAGAAGCTAGCACTCGCCGCCCCTAGCATGTTAGCATCTGTCCGATCGTAAAGAAGGTGTGGATTGCTCGAAGCATCTGTGCAGCATTAGCGGCCGACCTAGACCTTATCAGGGCAAGATGCTGAATCAGCATTGTGCCGCCGATGACAGCCGTTTGGGTGGCCCATGCAAGTGCGGAGGCTAGCAAGAATCCTGGCCACAAATGTCGCTCGTTGATCTGTTGAAAAAGCAAGCTTTGCAGGACATGCTTTTGTTCACCAGGAAGCCACATCAAATGCCGCAGTATCATTGCAAAGTCTTATAAAGTCTTGTGTGTGTGTGCACTGGCGAAGAGGATGACGAGATGCTGTCCCTCAACGCCCTGCTGATGCAAGCAGTTGGCGAAGGCGTTGTCGGTCGCGAAATGTGGCAAAGAGTAATTGTAGCGATCGTCTCCGGCATATGCAGACATTGAGAGTCAGAAAACGTGCTCTCCCGCCGGTAGGAAACTATGGCCTCTACGAACTTGCTTGCGATAAAAAGCTGTCCTGCTTCGAGCCCGAAGCGAAAGGCCATCTCGTGTCGCTTGTCCGGCTTTGAGGTTGCACATCTGATGCAAGATCTTAGAATGATTCGGAACTGTTTAGAAACTGGCAGAAGCCTCACATCAGCAAGGACTGGCCTCAATTTCCACAAATACTACTTCGACCTGAAGGAGCAGATGACGAAGGAGTGAGAGCTCTGGGGGGTCTCCTCACCGTCGTGCAGTCGCCATCGCCGTTTGAAGCCAGTATCTCGTTTCTATGCAGCCGTGGTGCGGAGTGGCATGGAAGCATCGCGTACTCCGTGAGTTGACTGCTCTGTGAGGGTAAAAAAAGAAAAGCCTCGGACTCTGTCGACGAGGCATCGCCTGAAGATGTGCGAGCTTGTTCTCGGTCGGTTACAAGATGTTGCGAGCTGTAAGGGCCTTGAGTGCAAACAAGTTCTGGGCTCGTAGAAGAAGGGGTCGCCGACGAGCCACAGGAGGATACAGCCAGCAAGCTGGCAACCCAGTCGACCATGTCGTCGCCAAGTATTACATGGCTTTGTCAGCGCCAGGCCGCCATTGTACCCAAGCTGCACAGATTCGGCAGCATCTCTCGCCATGTGTTTGTGCTGCCTTGATCTACATAGGTTACTCGAATTCCCTCTAACCCACAGCGCGTGAAACTGAGGTTTGCTTTAAGCGGTTGGTGCAATCTGGTACAAACACCGTGGCTACCGAGGCAGCCTTGAGATCTTGCTACCTTTCATAGGCATCGTGCAGTGAGAAGTATGGCCCAGACTCTGGTCAGGAGACCCGTATATGGGAGTTCTCGAGTGACCTCAAACAGTGGAAGCTTGGTTGCACGATTCTCCGAAGCCCTCTCCTGCAGAAGATACAGCAGACCTGTTGGTGTTTTGTTTGAGTCGTGGGTGAGCCTGGTAGGAAGATGATGCACTTCCATCGCTCACCTGGCAGTTCCTGATTGCCAATGCGCTTCGTAGTGTCCAGTTTTTCCGACTTTGAGAATTGTAAGTTTTGTGGTTGGCGCGAATTTAGATGGATTGCCGATCATCAAGCAGAAGCGCTCCGCACAATGGCTCGGCCATCAGGTGAAAAGACCCAATCTCAATCCTTGGCTCCTGTGTTTTAAGGACATACGCAGAGCATTTGAGGCATTTTGGCGGATTGCTGGCTCTCTGCTGTTCCTTGACATGGATTCCGACTCGACATTTGTTCTGTTTCACTTCATGCAGGTGGTGCTGCCGGGCCAGTCCATGGAGTGACCTGCGGACCCTGTCGCATGATTGTGCTTAGCAAGTCAGATGTCTCTGCAGCAGACTCCTCGTCTAATTTACCGCCCGTTAAATTGTCCGTGGCCCATGGCTTGCAAGCGAACCCGACATTCCACGAAAACGCTGTAAGTTCTGTTCAATACTGCGAGGTTTCATGGTGGCCGCCATGTCGCTGACTTGAGCTTGCGCACTGGAATCCATCACAGATTCCAGCTTGCTCATGCTCGCTGTTCGTCAGTCACCAGTCACTTTCAGAGACAGACAGCAAGGCATCAGTCGCGCCACTTCCGACGCCATGTCTGCAAGCGTTCCTTTGCTGTCCCCTGGGCGGCAATCAAGCAAAAGCTCCTCCAACACGAAACATGTCGGAGGCGATGGGTGGCCAGCATAGCCTGCGTGGACCTGCTCGAAGCTAGAAAGTATCAGCAATTCACAGTTCACTATAAGTGCGAGTTCATGGAAGGTGTTGCTTGGCCTGGAATCTGCATGGCTGTGGGCTTTTCGGCACTTGCGGCGGCGCCCGGGCTTGTAGCATTCAGATGTTTGTGAGGACTTGTACATGCATGCATGGGTGCATTGCTGACATGCTAGAGGCGACAAAAGCAACTGGAACTCGTCTGTCCAGCTATGAACGAATATTCCTCAGAAGCTGCTTCTGCATCGTTTTGGCCCCTGTGGCAGGTGCGGAATGACGTTAGTAACAGTTTGGCTATGCTTGGCTTGCCTGATCTTTCCCTGACAGGTGAGGTGCCCTGGCCACCGTTGACCTCGCGGTATCGTGGCTTGTTGCTTCTGAGAGGAGCTTTGGGATTCGTTGCCGTGCCTTGGCCGAGCCGGCTGGAGGCAAATGCACTCACGTACGGGCTTGGGCCCTCCTGTCGCTGCATTCTGCAGTGTCGCTGTCGCTGCGCCGAGGTATGGTCGTATTACGAATCCATCGCCCGGGTCCCGCTGGCGACTCTGACACTCATCTCCAGGCTTCGCTTTGAGAAAAGTCAGCCAAGCTGTCAGTCGTTGTCTTTCTGTTTCCTTATAGGATGCTTACGGAGCTTGTCTGTCGTTTCGCAGGCTTCACCCGTTGCTCTCTACCGCCTTGGCCGGCGTAATCCTCGGCGAGCCCGTGAAGCCAAGGCAGCTGATAGCACTTCTCGCGGCTGCATTTGGCACAGCCATGCTGGTACCACGCACAGAGGACTTGGGGCCATTGCACTGCGAACTCATCTGCCTGCAACAGGGTTCGAGCAAACTTCGATGGAATACACAGCTCAGGAGCTGCTTTCATCGGCTCAGAACAGCACCTACGGCTACATGTGCTGTGTGTCTGCGGCCTTCTTCACCGCTGCGGCACTGCTCTGCGTGCGAACGCTCTCCGTGTTGGATGAGGCACCACATCATGCCCGAGAAGCCTTTCACTGGGGCAACTTGTGCGGCTCACTGGCGCTAGGTTTACCACACGGTGCCTCAGCATGAAAAGTGGGAGATGCGGAGAGCCCATACCATACTCCAAAGGCTGCCGTCCTGTTTTGCTTTTTCTGTACAGGGGCCTGGACGGTCCGCGCCTCGCGCAAGCTCTCTGTTGAACTCTCATTCGTTCTTTCCGAGGCTTTCTTTGGCCCAATCGAACCGAGCTGCTCTGGATCCTGGCCACTGCCTTGTCCATGCAGTTGGCGCAGCTTGCGCTGACGCAAGTCCTGCGCAACCCTATGGTCAGCGCAGCGAAGTATTTTTTCCTCACCATCGTCTTGAATCTGGGCTTCGGCATCATAATGGGAGATCCCTGGCCTTGCTTCAGAGAGTGGCTTGGGGCAGCCGTCGTGGTGGTGAGCATGATTTTCAGTGAAGTGCCTGCAAAGCAAACCACTGCAAAAGCTTAGACGAAAAAGATCTCACTGATGGCATAGTAAGATGCGTAGCGATCTAAGCGTGTGCTAAGTACGCCCCTATGTTCCATCCTTCTGCATGTGATCTTTGCTTGTGGCCTCATTGGCAGAGCAGACTCGCAAGGGTAGAGCCTGAGAGGTATAGTTAAACTTGTTAAGTTTAGTTCGACAAGTCACAAGTACAGTAGCCGCTCCGACTCCGACATTCCAAGGGCTTTAGGTCTGAGGCGGCGCGCGCAAAGTCGCCGGATCACTGCAGGCTGTCGTCTGTAATGTTGACGGGCAGGTACGGCTGGCGAGAGCCAATGGCATCGGAATTTGCAGTCAAAGAAGGGGCAACTCCACTCGCCGTGGATGTAGTGGTGAATGGCCGCAGGCTGGGGTAGCCTCTCGTCTTCGAACTTGCATAGATGCCTAGCAGTTGCAATCGTCAGCCAGGCACCACATCCAAGATGCAAGACGCTCTCTTCACCGGCAGTTGCCTGGAACAGATTCTGGATCATCTCTCAGAGGTTGCTGTTGGACATGTACTCATTCGCCGATGCATGCAACACTTGCGACGAGAGTCAAGCAGGCGAATTGCGCCGGTTTGCGTTGAAACCATGTGCTCTAGGAGCCGATCGAGGACTGGCCATCTGCATCTTCCGTGCCGATGCAAAGACGGCGGCGTCCTTGCTCCTTTCTGCAGCGCAGAAGGGAAGGGGGGCAGCAGTAGAAGCACTAGCTCCGAGGTCCTGGCCTTGGTGGAGGAAGGCAGGGGAGGCACAGAAAGGACACCTGATGCCATGGACGGCCGGTGCACAGGCCCCGTCGATGCTTCAGCTTCCTTGGATCCTTGGATCAACATGGCTGTGATTCCTTGGGGGCAAGTTGAAATGTGGTTTTAGCAAGGAAGCGCCTGCATCCTGGAGCCTGCAAGCCGCCTCCCCAGCACTCACATGGACAGCGTGGCCCTGGCCACGTGGCTTTCCGTTCTTCGATCGGCTCTCCATGCCTGGGCGTTCAGAATAGAGGTCGCCTGCGCACGGAGTTTGCCTAGGCCGTAGCCTCTGCGAGACGGGCGAATAAGCTGGTGTAAGCGGCTGCACTCCGGCTTTTGAAGACTCGTGGCTGGCGGTAGCGACGGCAGGAGGGTTGGGAGAGCAGCCAGCAACAGGATCCTCATCCGCCCTCTGGATCAGCCGTCCGAAGACGTTTGTCGAGCACGTGCACCGTCTAACTGTCTAACATATCCTACATAGAACTCCAGAGCACCCTGCCGAACAACATACAGCTGTATCAACTGCGAATCTAACGAAGCAAGCCTACAATACAAATATCCTTAAAAGTAAGTCTTCATAAGTTTACAACCTCTTAAGTTTGTACCATGGCTCCCGATCCGACGACTGCTGCTACGCAGGGACGAGCAGTGGTACTGCTACTGCTGCTACTCTACTTCCATGTGATGGTATCCAATGTCAATGACACCTGTACTGATGACTATTGACTCGAGACTGTCGTGCCAACGCCCTATTACTGATGTGTTTGATGATGATGCCGACGATGATGGTGTTTCTCATCACGCAGCTCTTGCTACCGGTGCGGTGCCACTATCGTTACTGTACCCCGCAACTTGGAAGTAGGTCCGAATTGAGCCTAATTATTGCTTGGTTTAGAGCAGCAAGATTCAGGTGGAAGTCAGGTTGAGCCGGATTGGTGCATGCCTCAGGAAGCGAGCAGCGAAGACTCTGTTTTCGCAGCTTTGAAACGTGATGCCATCGATTTGTTGTCTGCTTTGCTGTAGGCCTCTCCATCATCGAAGCCGGGCGGGATCCCGAAGAGCTCGGCGCTGAGAAGCACCTGCCTTTCGAGCCATCATCCTTGGACCAGCTTGACTGGGACACCGCATTGCACGACTACTTGGAGACAAGATCATCTCACCTGCGGTGTGTTTTCAAGCATGGTTTCATCAGTTTCGTCCATCGTTCTTGTCGGCTTAAGCTCCGCTGCCCACTTCACTGATAGCTGCAGTGGTGCGCGGCGAATCCCACATGGACAAGAGGCAGAAGACGGAGGCAGAGGACCACTCGGGTCATGGGCATAGTCACGGCTACGGTGATGTTCGTCGATCCAGCGGCCGACTGCCGGTTACTGTCCTCACGGGCTACCTGGGAGCAGGGAAGACCACGTTGTTGAACTACATCTTGAAAGTGCAGCACGACAAGAAGCTCGCCGTCATCGAGAACGAGGCCTGGGGGACTGCTTGCTTCGTAATCAGTCGATTTGTGGTCCTAGACACGGTCTCCAACTTTGGAAAATGTGACTAAAAAGGCCCCACAGCCGCACCTGGACATTTAATTCTCGATTCCCCGCCAGATTGGAGAAGTTAGCATCGACGATGCACTCGTCGATCAGAAGCAAGTGGAAATGGCACAGGAGCTCGTGCTGTTGGATAATGGTTGCGTCTGCTGCACCGTGCGTGGAGACTTGATTGCGTCTCTACATAAGATTGGGGAGAAGTACGCTACTGGTGGAGCACATCTCGACGGCGTACTCATTGAGCTTACTGGCATGGCTGATCCGGCGCCGGTGGTTCAGACGTTCATTGTGGACCCGCAGGTGCAGAGGCAATTCTACGTGGACAACGTTGTGACCTTGGTTGATGCCAAGCATGCCATCGACAAGCTCGACGAGAGCAAGGGCGACCCAGAAAAGGGGACCGCCTGTGCACAGATAGCATTTTCGAGCACCGTCCTCCTGAACAAGCAACTTGGCCGAAGTGCTGCTTGCAGTGTTACAGGCGTATAGACATTGTACAAGTTGCGCGCGTGTCTAAAGTTGGATCTCCACCCTGAATCTGGGGTTTGTTAAATTTTCAGGGCGTGCCCACCCAGTATACCCACCCCAGAGCAGCACGCAGAACATCCCTGTTGGCCAGAATTGGCCAGATATCCAGCAGAATCACGCCCCAAGCGCTCATGCCGGAAGTTTCTGCAGAGCTTCCCGGCAGTGCGCAACCCAAAGTACCCAGAAGAGTATGCTTCCGCAGCGCATACATGGAGTGCCCTCCCAAGTAAATCGTCCAGTAATATCGCACCAAGGGTCATAGTTTGTTTGCATCCTTGCCGAGATTTCTGGGAGCCTGCGGGTCAACACGTATAGTATAGAGTCGATCCACGCACCTGAGAGAGTCTGGGTTCAGGATTGATCTGGTGGATGATGCACACCTGAAGAAGGTGGAGGCTCGCATTAAGGAGCTCAACGGCGCAGCCGAGATTCTCAGGTGCCAGCAATCGCAGGCTCCAATGGACAAGCTGTTTAACGTCGGTGCTTTCAACTTGGAGCGGGTTTTGGACGAGCAGTACATGGATGAATCAGAGTTCCGACAGTTCTACAAGCCTAAGATGGACCGTTCTGTCTCGAACGTTGGCATTCGCTGCGAAGGAGCCGTTCAGATGTTCGCCATACAGCGGTTTTTGGACCAATACCTAGGGCAGGAGGAGACAGCAAAGGATTTCCTCCGTGTCAAGGCAGTTTTGAACATCGCCGGCAGTGACAGAAAGTTTGTGCTACAGTGTGTGCATATGCTCCGAAACCAGGGCTTTACCAAGCCATGGGGCCCGGGAGAAAAGCGGGAAAATAAAATCATCTTCATTGGCCGTAGCATGCAGCCGCGGCGGCCGGAGCTCAACGAAGGCTTCAAGGCTTGCTTGGTGACCAAACCCTTGCGCTTCCCAGTGGGTACCGCAATCCGGGCCAAGACAGGTGCAGGTCCCCAGGACTGGGAGCAGGGCGTGGTGCTGGCGCAGTGGGATGAATGCAACGCGTACCGCTTGCAGTTGAGGAGTGGAGACCAAGTCCATGCACCCATGGACATGGATTGCTTCGTGATGAAGGCCTGAGCTCGAGAATTGCCGGCCACCAAAAGTTGTGGCCAACGAAAGGCAGTAGCTCTGCCAACACAAAGGGCCATTTTGTGGGGCCACCAGCCGAACGGGCCGCGCTGCTAGAGGGGTGACGGTTTCCAGATCTGCGATTCTGTGAAGCATGATGTTTTTCGGACAGATGCGCGGAGAAAGCAACATCGACGTTGAGTTTCCACGAACCACTGCCACGTTTGCCTTTTCTGCACATCGGTACTGGGCCACTGAGGCTAGTGTACTTACAAATGGAGTTGATTCGGTTCGAGCTTCGACGAGGCCTGTGGCGCTTTCGGTGATGTAGCAAGCTTGCAGCTCGCACACTGCACCAAAGGTTCCGGAGAACCACAGCAGCTTCGCCTCTCCGTAGCCTCGGCGCAGGCGCAGTGTTCAGTTGAAGCGGGAATGGGCAGAAAGTAGAGCTGTTGAAAAGAGGCGTGCTGTTCCGCCAGGTAGACTGCCAATTGCCAGGACGTGCAGATGGCTTTGACCCAAAAGCGGTCTGATGTAGTTCGAAATCATTTGCGTATGCGAATGTCAGTGTGCTAGAAACAAAGTTCCGTCAGGCCGAGATGTTCGTGTGACTCCCAGTTGATGGCAGATGCTTGCGGCATGTGACACTGCTGCCACATACACATTTCCCTAGACTCTAGACTGAACAGCAAGGAGCAGCTGACAGGTTTGAACAGCTTTTGATTGAGCATTGAAGAAATGCAGCATGTCACCGCATGTCGTTCAAGTCGACACCGGCGTTTCAGGCCAGCACGTCATCAAGCAAGCATCAGTCGTCCTTATCACAACGTCGTACCGCGGTGGAGCCGCAATGCTTATAGAAGGCTCTTATATAGTACCCGAAAATGTGAAACCTCTCGCGCACCGCATCGCTGTCAGCTTTGTGGAACAGGCCGAAGCCTCCGAGTTCGACTTTCATGCTAGCAGACTGACTACGCCCCAGTCACGTCCACAGTGACAAGACCTCCCGTCGACTCCGCCCATCAAGCCGGGCGATTTGCTCCCGCGTAGCATGGAGCACATTCCGCGAAGTTCGTCTTGGACTTCGTTTCGTGCTTCCAAAATGCCTGGTAAGTCGCGCAAACATTCGCCGAATTTGCCGAAGCTGCGCAGCTCCGAAAACTTGGCCATGCAGAGCTCGCGAGGACATCAAACAGGCACACGTAGCAAGAGCAGCAAAGCACGGACCGTCGTTGCTGGCATCAGGCCGTGAGAGCAGCCTTGGAACCTTGCGGAGTTCGCCTTCTGCACCAGGGCAGCAGAAAGTTTACATGCATAAGTCTCAACCCCTGACTTGTTCCGCAAACCCACTGAGGCAGTGATTTTTGCCGCTCGTGGCGAAGAAGGCATCGCAGTGGAGAGTTACGTCGTCACCTTGTGTTGTGCGATCCTCGAGGCCGAGCGCTCTTGAGCGGGACACCAAGTGATCACTGCATGCTAGGGTTCCAGCAAAGAATTAAGGTGGAGGTGGCCTGTGTCCGACAAAGCGCATTGTAGCAAGACGTGCCACAAATTACAATTGCTCTCGGATTAGCAACAATTTGCCGCAGGCCGGAGGAACTTGTGCTGCAGGAAGCATATAGAGCGGTCACTGGTTGAATTTGGGACCCGGGTGATCGGAAGCTTCGGGGAGGCTTTCGTTGGCAAGCAAGGCATGTCTTCTGGCCGAACTTACTGCTTTAGAGTGTTTTGCGAGCTCAGCTCATGCGCTGCAGTGCTTCGTGGTGGCCTCTGTCACCGGAGCGCATGCTGGCATGCTGCAGCTTGGGCTCGAAGCTTGCTCCTTTTTCCAGGCTTGGCCTTTGCCATGTTGTGCAAGCTTGCCTCACTCTTGGCTGCCTATGGGTGGTTGCTCGGGACGGCGAGAGCGGACCAGTGTGGTGAAATCACCACGTGCGATTCTTGCCTCGCGGCTGCTTCCGGGTGCTTCGGCTGGTGCCATGACTTGATGGTAAAACAGTCGGGATTGTCGGATCACGTTCTCAGGTTACGTGGATAGGCATACTGATAGGCATCGCCACGCAGTTGCAAATGCTTGCGCAGCCCAGGTTTGGAGACAGTTGCTGCTCGCAGGAGACTTGTTTGGAAGCCGCACAAGGCTAACGCGCCAAGCAGTGAATCCATCGGTGAGGCGATTCTGTAGGTGTGCCTGCGAGGTGACCGCGAGTTCTGGACATCATGTCCGAAGTGGCAGCAGCACGTGGACTGAGTTGTGAGCATGTTTGAAGCAGAGCGCTTGTAAGTGCATGGGGCGCGGCCAAGAGTCAACACACATGCCCGCATGCCACACTGCCCACTTTGCTTGCAGCAGGAGCTACTAAAGGTTTGCTCCAACATACCGGCACACGACAGCTGCGCTTGCATCAAGGCCTTTTCAAAATGCGACTCCATGGGTGGACATGCTCTGAAAGCGTGCCGATGTTGTTAGGCAGGATGCGTTGCTCAAGAAATCACGGCGCGGGCCTGAGCCCACCGAAGCTAACGAAACCAATGGCTTCCGGATTTTCCCTGATGATTCGCTTCAATTCTCCACGTGCAAGTAACGAAAGCCTTTGCCATCCTCGGTTGTGGAAATCTCTGTGGGCACTTATCCGGGCCTTGTGAGCTCGCAGCTTGCTTGCTGAAATGCGCTGTTCGCGCGTTCCTGGTACATGCCCCTGTTTCCCCGCATGCAATCTGAAAGGATGCTGGGTGAGAGTCTCATCGCGCAGTGGGCATGCAGAGCCCGTAGCCTTCACGATAGTCCTTAAAGGCCTCATTTTGAGACAGGGTGCTCGAGGGCTTAGGACTCTGTTAACTTCTGCTTAGCATTGGAAGCTGCAAAGGATGCGGGTACGGGGCTCAAAGCAGATTGTGCTTCGTCCCATTGGCTTTTCGAAGGCACTTTGTTTTGAGTCCGGCACACTCCGACACCGTCTGCAGTGTGAAAAATAGACTCACTGTTAAGCTGGGCTCAGGCTGGATTGACTGCATGCTTCGCCAGCTATCAACCTGCTGCCGGCAACCAGCTTTTCCCCAGCGACGTGAACTGTGGGCAGGTGGATTGGGAAATCTATAGCTAGCCACTAGCCAGCCGGCATTACCAGACTCAGCCGATTACCTGTCTGCCAAGTGCATTGGCACGTTACCTGTCCCCTGAAGGCGGAAAGTGAAGCCGGGCCCCAAGAAAATTAAATGATTATGAGCAAAATCTGAGCACTCATCAGCACGGAGGAAATGGGAACAATGATTGCTGCCGCAACCACGGCTGTAGCCTCAGACTTCACTGGCCTCGTGGCTGCGAAGGGAAGATTGAAATTTTTATGAGGCTATTTGACTGAGTACATCGTAGACGCGCAGGAGGACAGCAGACTGTTGCAGGGCGCTCCCTCTTTCAACCCGAAACCCAAGACCTCATGGGGTCAAGCTGCTTGGGACTATTGTTGTAAATGTTCGTTCCGTCTGAGTCGACGCAGCCACGGTGACTCAGTGCCGTTGCCGTAGTATTGTTATCGGCATGCTTCTCATCGTGAATTTATTCTCATTCCTGCTGTTGCCGCACAGGTTGCTGCCTTTGGTGCATTTCGAGAAAATTTGTAAGCCCATTTGATTAGCAAGTAAATCGCAAAACAGCGCATGCTGCAGTCGCAGTGCGTTGTCAGGCTTGCAATTCGAAATGTTTGGGAGTGTAGCGGGACCGCTTGCTGATCGAGCTGGGGGAGTCCAATGGCATTGTCATCTCACTCAAAGTCAGGGCCTCGCAGGTCTCAACACCAGGGCATTTAGTCAATATTGAGCCGTTGCTGCGCACATCAAGACCTGCGGTGTGAATGTATGAGCTTTTAGTAGTGATCAGAACGCGACGATCCATTTGCAGCGATGCTATGTTGGGAGCAAATGGAAATCCGACACTTTCAAGACCCCCGCCGACAAGAAGCCTCTGGCAGGCCAGCACATGTAAGGGGCGTTGAAGGATGCAATAGGATGTTTCTCGAGCTAAGCCTCTGGCTGAGGACTTGAATGCGAGGCGATCCGGTGCAGCACGACGCCAGATGCAACAGAGTGGAAGTGCCGTCGAACAGAGGAGAGGGGACCAGAGACAACTTATCTATCAAAGTGTGTTTTGTACGTTGCCGTCTTCAGGGGAGGTGTGGTGAGAGACTTGAGACGAGTAGCAGAGGCAGGCATGCCTGAGTTCGTATAGCATTAGTTCTGTGGATGCCAGCCGGTCCTTGCAAGATAGGCAGGTAGGGCAGCTTAGGCAGAAATGTGTTCAATCGTTCGAGCTGCAGGAGTGCGCCCACTGTGAGCTACCATGCCTGCAATTTCTATGTGGCGTAGTAGCATCGATTGAGGCCACTGAAACTGCACAGAGGCTGTGTTGCAGAAACTTGTGAACCTCGAAGACCGCAGCTCAACAACTCTACGAAGCCAGCCCGTCATGGGACAGATGATTCTTGTACTGTGCACGGCCTGGATGGGGTGCTTTGAATTGGGTCGGAACTGTGAGACGACTGTTAGCCAGACCGAAACGTCTTCACTCAAAGACAGTGACTCGAGCAATCCGAGATGTGTAGAATTCAAGAAAAGCTGGGCTTGGCGGTTGCAGCGAGCAAGGGCCGCGTTCACGGTGTCCGTGAATCGAAGACTCCTTCTGGCACTGACTGAGACTGAGGCCTGGAAGTTCACCAGGACACAACTTCGACCAAGGATTTGGCACGCCAAGAGAGCTTTGCAGAGCAGTGCAGGGAAACAGATAAGATTCACATGCCCAAGTAATGTGGCGCTCTCCGTGGCATCTTCGGGCTCATGCGAGATGCATCGTGGCATGACATCTTGATGTGAAGGCACCGACCGACGGTCTGCATTGATAGACTTACCAAGTTTCATTAGCACAGCGCACGCTGTCCAGAACATGCTAAGAGCCCGATGGAAAATATGCCCTCCCCGATGTCAGTGTTTATGGCGCATGGCGGACGACCGCGCTCGCTTTGCGGTCATCACAAACTTCGACGCAGACTACGAAGTCGGTTTCCAGTGCGTTCTTGAGCTGCAGTATGGGGATATATGCGAGGCTGATGTTCCTAAGAGTCACAGGCCGGATTTTATGATGCAGCCAACGTGTGCAAGAATTGGCCAGGCCGCCGTAAACGATCAATACTGCAGACGATGGCGGCACACGTTCTTGCCTTGCGTCCTGTCGCGCGAAGAGATGCAGATGGTGTGCGAAGGACGCCACTTCGCGTGGGCGAAAGTTGCGCCCCGGCCACACAGCAAATGGCTCCTGAGTATTTGGCAAAAGGTGAGCAACCCTTTTTGTTGTAGATTGCAGACCTCATCCCACGTTGTCTTCGGTCATTATCATTAAGAGGTGCGAGAATGTGGCAAACTAGTGGCTGTGATCCTGGTGCAAGTGGTTGTATGGTGCTGTATGGCAGGAGTGGCAATAGCAGAGGCATGCAGCGGAGGCAAAAGCAGTAGCAGAAACAGGGATGGCAGTCGTAGTCGTCGTCGTTACGCCGTAGCAGTCTTCGTTGTCAAAGTCGTTGAGCCGGAGTATCACAACAATGACGAAACGCCGAAACCAGCCACAACATTTCAGAATCAGGTCGCATGTCATTGTCTATTGTCTCTGCACTGGCATCGAGTCGATTTCTTGCCGCAGCTGTTTCATGCGATTCGCCCAGTGTTTCTTTCGACCCCGCTATTTCTCAGGCAAATGCGTCTCCGCATGTTTGTCACTTGAGCTGGAACTCTATGTCCACACAATCGATCAGTGCCAGCTACTAGCAGCCAGTCTCATCATACTCCATACCGTGCCCCAAACGTGCAAGCTCCTTCGTGCATCGGAGGAAACGGTGGGCGAAAGTAGTTTTAGTTCGGGCTTCGGGCAACCAAAACCCAGTGCTTGCTGGTTGCACCAGATGCTTTGCGAAGCATGTCTATAGGCATCAAAGTTTCGGATCCTCAACCACGGCTGGCAGTATGTGAGTCTGTGTAACCTGAATATGGCCCCTTCTCGGCAAAGGCGCTCTTGAAATATCTCTTCAGTCCGCACTCCTGCACCATTGGCACCCGGCAGATATTCGGAAGCTGGATAGGTGGCGAAGAGGTGCCGTGCATGGTGGTGGCACAGTGTCTCGGGGCGGTACCCTCGACAGTTGAGATGCACAACCCTCAAAGCAGGCACGCCGTGCTCTGCTCAAAGACGTGGATTACATAGAATCTTGACTGCCAGAGACTGGCAAGGTTTTGTGATGTGTTGGGGCAGTATGTGAGGGTAACTCGAAACCCCTGGTTGAACAGATACACTGCAAGGTGTGGATGGATGGCGATGCCATGGTCTTAGACCACGTGCAGCAGCTAGATGCTTTTGTTGCCGGCAAATTTCGAAGGATCGAGACGAGAGGGCAGTTTCATGTCTTGTCCAATGCGCCCGAAAGGGATAACCTGGCGGCCCGTGCCGCAGGAAAGACTTGGTCCTGGCAGAAGACATGTCCTGGGCGGATTATGTGAACACAGGAAGCTGCAAGACAGCCACGCGTAGCACGCACATGCAAACAAGACCGACCTGATGGTGACAGGAGTCCTGTTCGCTCGTACTGATTCAGAATGGCTTCGGACCTTCTGGGACGATGCTTGGAATGGTGCCCATGCTCGTTTTCATGAGGCCTGCAGTGACACATAGAGGGCTTAATACCCCGACGAGAACCGGCACGTCGCCATTTGTTGGGTATCTTGGCGTTTGTAGGTTGTTGTTGTCCTGTGGATTGTTTTCGGGGTGATGCGACCTGACACAGGGCTCGAGATGAGCCTCAGATCCCTGCTCCTAACTTGGCCCTCTTGGCCATAGTTCTATAGTCTGTGGGTTTTGTAGTGACTTCGGGAGTTGGGACGGCCACGCGCGCCTCCCCTGCGAATCATGGACCAACCTCGCCTGCATTGCCCGAGTTGCGAGAGTCTAAAGAGAACCAGCGCTGCACCGTAGGATGTTTGGTTCCCGGTTCCCTGAGTGGAGACGGAGGCACCTTTCTGGGATCAGAGTGGACTTTGCCAAGAACTGGCTCGTCGAAGGGAATTCCTACCTCAGGCAGAAGCGCGGACTGCTACGGCGGTTGAAGCGGTGTAGGGTTCAAAGCAGCTGCCTTTGAGTCGTTCTTTCTGCCAGGTGCTTGGCGCAATGGCAACACGGCTCCCTGCACAGGGCCCATGGTTCAGCTGGATGGGTGGACCGCACTTGAAGGAAACCTCACACCTGGGAATCTGGGATGCTGCAGCTCGGCCGAAAACCGGTTCACACGCACAGGCGAGATGGGAGGTTCCAGCCTCAATCAGCTGAGGCCTCTCTGCAATTTGCGAATCCCCTGCATGCACAGTTCATTCTGCATCTTTGCGGCTTCAGCGAGAAGCTCCCCTTGTGTAGGACACCGATGGCTGCTTGCATCATGTACACCAGGCACCGGCATGAAGTACACTCAGCATGTCGGACGGTATCCTTGCGCAGGAAGATTTGTCAAAGCGGCATGTTGCGCAACTTCTCCTTCCAAGCCGATGTCGACAACCAGCCGCACAAGCTTGCCGGGCCGTTGTGGCAGGCATCACTTGAAATCTTGGCTGCAGCTGTGGAGTCCTGCCCCTTTGGATGGCCGGCATGCACGGGAACTCTTCATCCGAACTGCATCCTGACTGAAGCCTGTGGGACCGTTTAATCAAGCTTGGAATTGGCCTTCTACTCTTTTCCGAGGCATGTCCAAGTTCGAGATGATGGAACTGCAGCCCCCTGCCGTTCTCGTGATTCCCCACCTGCGGGCCGAATGGGGGAACAAGATGCATCTCGGACCAGAATGTCGAAAGGTGTTGCCGTGTCAGGATGGTGTGCGGCGTGTTTTCGCAGCAAACTTCATGCCAGGGTGACTGCCAAGTCCGTGCACAAGATCGGCCTCAGTCACTGGCCTGCAGATAGCGCAGCATCTCTAGGCCGTGCACTTCGTCGGGATCCGTGTCTTCAACTGAGGTCGCCCAGTAGCTCTATGGCAGATGTGTGACTATGTGCGGGGCACGCCGCCTCCTTGCCATCCAGTCCTGGGGCAGCTTGATCCATCGCAGCTGTGGTGGTGCAGCTTCCTTGCCAAAGGAAAACACACGGCTTGAGACATGCCGTAATCCAAGACAAGCAGAATCTGACAGCGCAGCCCAGGTTGGGACCTACCCTCTAACGCCGACTTCGACAGAGTTTTGGCGAGATTGTCTCTATCGCGGGCTCAGCTACACCTGTATCCACCAGGCTTCTTTGACCGAATCTGGTAGGAGCCTGAAGTCCTGTCTGCCTGGGTGGCCGCAGGTGTCAGAATTCAACTCGAACCGCCTGGCGGGGCCCTCAGAACTGCGCGTTGGTGTTACTAACTGTTAGTAGATCGATGATTGCCAGCATTTTTTTGTATAAGTTGCATACGAATCGTGGACAACAGTAGCGAGCAGGCTGTAGTCTTTGTCGGATAGAACATGCCTGCGATCTACGTTCCGCATGCCCCTGCGCTCTCAAAATGTCCAGTAGGCAGAGACTGAGAAACACCGTCATTGGTCACCGAAATCCGTGGCCACATCCCCTGTGACACAGTGAGTTTCAAGGCTTCAGGTTGCTGGACAATGAAGTGAGGCAGGTCTGAGGCTGCAAGTGTGTTCACGCTCAGGCAGGGGAGTCACAGATGTGAGGTCTTTAGATCACAGTGGCTGAGAGAGTGGGCCGACCAAGGACAGAGCGATGATAAATAGCAACATGCTGGAGTTTGATGATGCCTTTGAGTGTGTGCATTTTGTTGTCGTGTTGAACGGTTTCTGGTGCGAGCATTGTCAACAATGCTCTAACCAAGTCTTGTTTCGGAAGTCCATAGTGGAAGTCACGGCAAACTTGCTTTAGAGGTGCAGCGATCCCGGGCCCCTGCAGTGTGGAGTTTTGCTACTGCGAGAACATACTAGACACAATCGATTCATAGAATAGTTCCGGGTACCGTCACGGCATGTAATGGCCGTTGTGAAAATGGTCGCTCCGATAAAAAATGATTGAGAGAACCATGGCTCAAAGCAGACTAGCAGAGAGCACACGCATAGTGTGGCCGTTCATACAAGGTGCCCAGCAATTGCTGTTCTGGATCCTCAAGGGCACAGCCACGACATCTTCCACGAGAGTCGAAGCAGGCAAAGGGACTCGGGCCGTGATTCTCTTTGTCAACGGTGTGAAGGGGCTGCTGTGTAGCGCTAGATTGTGTTGGCTTTTGAGAAGTGAGCAGAGGCATGTTTACGGTGACAGGTCGGGCATTGATCATTCCTCGCGGCGAAGTGCTGGTCGGAATCCAGGCTGAAGTTTGGCGCGCGCGACCCGCGCAGAGTATAATAGCTCGTGAACCATTTGCCCAGTTGCTTCTATGCATACTTGCTCGCTCAAAGCGGTTCTGCCGCATGCGATAGGGTGTTCCATGCTTTACCAAGGTTTAGCAATAACACCGGTTGTGGCATTGTCTGGGCCACATGGCAGAAACATGGCTTGATGCTTCAATATGCGCTGCTAAATGCATCTGACCGTCTTTTCGTATTCTTTGGGTCGTCCTGAAGGTTCCGCTCTGGAGAAGCCCACGACAAAGATCCAATAGCCTCTTCGTCCAAGAAGCAGACTGCAACAATGCTGCGGCCTGAGCATCACGCTACGAGCTCGGCACTTCGTCACTTGTGCCAGCAACTGTGTGCGAGCCCTGTGCAGACACGTCTCTTCAGCCGGGAGCCTATGCCCATTGGTGGACGCTGGAGGCTGGCAATGGTTCGGTAACCCTGAGAACTTCAGACTGCATCAAGTTTTCGCTTGTGTGCCATGTTTCACACGTCCTTCCTCGATAGACATACACCTGGCTAAGAAACTGGTTGGGAGCACCGCGCGGTCATGAGCCAGTGGATCAAGTGTCCCGGTTCAGACCTGCTACCTTCGGCAAGGAAATCATTAGCAGATTAGCAAGCCGTGGAAAAGTTGTGGCCGCTTGCAAAGGTTGCAGCTGCACGGCAGAAAGAGGCTCTCAAAGCAAAGCCCTTCGCAAAGGCGACGGCAGCTGCCTTTTTGTCGTGGCCGGTGCTACGAAATTGCATGCATTGTGTTGCTTGTTGCAGGCTCGAGCGGTGCTATCCAGGGACGCAAAGTTCGTGCAGGCGCCAACTTGACTTGGCGGCCAGCCTGTGTGGATTGCCAGGATCAAGCCGGCCATCTAGGTGACTGCTCGACACGGTCAGTTGCAATACTGTAGGCATTTCGTTTAGTGATTATTAAGTGATTAGTGCGCTTACTCCTGCGACGAGTGCTTGGACATGGAACGCGAACATGTTGTATTCGTAGCCAAAAACCATACTGCAAACAAACGAAGTCGTGACAGATTCTTGGTAAGATGACCAGGCACGCTGTGAACGACGCCGTGTCTGGCCAACTTCGCCACGTCCCTCGCAAATGGAAGTGGACTGAAGAACGCGGACGTAAAATGCGGCACAGACGAGCAGCTAAAGGGCCAGCCGTCTTTGTCTGAAAGCCATTGGCTTCTTCGGGCCTTGCCTCTGAGCCGCCCAGACCTCATTAGCAACGCAGGTGATACCGTATGCCGAGATCGCTCTCGACTCGACAGATTTGACAGTCTATGCCTGAGTTCGACTGGAGACGACAGCACTGCACCGCACCCACTGCCCACGACCGAACGTCTAGACGCTTGACACCAGTACAGGTTGATGATCACTGGCTGGACCGTCTGGCGGGTTGCCTACAACAAGAAACCCACGATTGACAACCTATGGGAGTCTGCTCTGAGGCCCGCCTGGCATCACAAGCTCGTCATAGCCTGAGGAATGAGAAGTACATGAGAAGGATTGAGAAGCCAACAATGTGCACTCTACAACCGGGCTCGTCACTGCACCATCCACGAGGCTGTCAAACGGACCAATAGTTCTCAGCATGCCGATTCTGTCTTTTAGTGGAGTTCGTGGCTGACGAAAAGGTGGCGCCAGCCAGAGCAGCAAATCCGCTCTCCCGGATATGCTGAGTCCGGGCCTTTGTCACTGAAGACACCAAGAGCCTGGACCTGACACAGACCAGGATTGGCTGGGAAGCCGATAGTGGAAGAGTACGTTGTGATGCACTCGGAAATGGTTTTGGGATTGACACGCCTCATTGTTTTCTATGCCTGTCTCCTGACCACCTGCAGGGCTTTCACGGCCCTCTCTACGTTTTCCGCCCCGCCTTCGAGGCCATAATCATTCATAGTCATTGCGCATGGGCCATGCCCAGGTGCCAAGCTGCCCGCGGATCGTGGGGACCCCAGAGCAGCTGTGTACGGTCGCGAAAGGTCATGAAGACAGGCCATCACCCCATCCCAAGAGCTCATATCACGCAGCCGCAGCCGCTAGAGGGTCGAGCTTGGGAGGTACAGATCGACGCGCTTCACATTTCAAGCATTGCCGTCAGAGCCCGGTGCCCCAATGTCGGATTGCTGCCTAATTGCAATATCAGCGAGGTTCACGCGGCATCTATGCTTAGTGGCATGTCAGCTTGTCGAAGGTTTGGTGTTCGATACGACTGGACAGTGCCATGCTCTCAGTATCGCTGATGAGCAGAGAGCAGTCGAATATGAATCCAGCATCTGGGGCAACAAGCACCACTCGCCAGGTCCGTTTTCTGCCAGGTTATGCCGAGGCCTTACACCGCTCGCTCTACACGAACTGGAAGCACGAAGAAACACGCTGAATGCTGCCTGATGTTGCCTAGGTTCGTTCAGCCATTCGTTTACTGAGTCTCAGTGCGCGATTCCACCTTGCTCCAGTCTTACATGTCCCGCAAGATTCCAGAGCTCGACAGAGACTGTTCGGAATCGCATGTCAGGATGGTGCTTCAGTATCCTTGCCAAGACGGCGGTTGCCACGACCTGATCTGCTGCACAATGGTTGCGAAACTTGTTGATTCCCTGGCGGTAGAATTGAAATTGCTCAGGCCGCCGTACCGTGGCTCTGTGAGCGATTTCCTGGGCTGCCTCACTGCCGAGTACACGGCCAGGCTCCTAGAATCTCGCACAGCAGAAGTCGTTTTCAGTCTGATTTTCGGCGGACTGAGCAGCTGCCAACGTTCAGCAAGGTGAACTTCTTGCACAACGTTGGTGCGGTTCTTGGAAGAAGCTCTGTGTTGAAGCTGCCACGGCCCCGGCCGAATGCAAGCAGAGTTCATTGACAGAGGGAGGACAGACCTGTGATTGTCAGCAGGCCGCGAGTTCCCCTGAAGATTGGTGGTACTGCTGTATCTTATGCAACTTGACAGAACGAGGGACTTGCAGCTACGGAAGCGTAAGTTTTGATCGTTCGTACCTTCAGGTTACAGACAGCATTGGCGGACATCTCAGCGCTCTAAGCTGCTTTGCGAGCTTGTCAACAGCAATATGCTCAACTTCACGCGCCCAGACGGAGCTCCAGTTAATCTGGCTGTGAGATCCGCCTTGTGTTAGCTGTGCGCACTTGACATTATCTCATTGCTCTCATTTCATTTTTATAATTACTACGTCTAGCAGCCTTAGGAGTCAGGTTTCCAATCTGTGCTCCGTGCAAGTAGCACAGACGTGCTGCTCGGCAATAGTTGCCTCTGTCATGTGCGGGCGGTTCTAGAAGATCAGCAGCTCCGCGACCGACAAAACCGGCCACTGCTGACCATCCCTCGCTTGCGACAAGATTAAAGTGCGGCCAACCGAGCAGAAGGACCTGCGAGTCAACTTCGAACAGCGCTGCGCAATGCCTCCTTCTGCCTAACTTTCGTCTCTTCTCGAGTTACAGGCTTCAGCTTGCTGTGTGCCGCGTAATGCCGCGTGAGGTCTGGCCGCGGGAGAAGCTGCAGCATTGCTGAACAAACTCACCTTCGACGAGGACCTTCCTTCTGGACCCGGCATCACTTGCGGAGCATCGAGTAGATGCGCAGGACTTTGTTGCGAAACAGCGGGAGCAGCAAGGCACGAAGCGAATTCGCGGGCCAGGTGCTGAGCATGCCGCGGCTGACAGTCCTTGCTCTCGATGCGTGTTCGAAGATCTTTGCGAAATGCCATGAGTTATTTACTTGGAATGAACCTGCGCAGAGCAGAGTGCGAGTGGGAGAGCCGCAGCCCAAAGAAATGCAGGCTGGGGGATGGTGTTGTGGAGGCGAGCAAGTCCATTGCACAAGGAGCTCCTTGCCTGCAATAGGAGTGCACCAGTTCTCGCTTGCACTTTGCAGCTTTGAGGTGGAGGGGGTTATGGATGTTGCTGGGGACCCGGACTTGCGTTTCAGTACCGCAGCTTCAGTTTGACATAGCCAGGTGAAGAAACCTGTCCAAGGCGCTGGAGACCAAGCATCGGAACAGCCAGCAATTTCCTACATGCGGCGTTTATCAACCGGCGCTTTGATGGTCCTGCGTATGGCTAAGGCTCGCAGCAGTGGTTTGAGCGGATTTCTCATGGGGGTCTGCTGCCCAGCAAGCGCCATCACATGTGATCAAACTCCTTCAAAAAGGGTGGTTCGGTGAGGTGGGAATTGGAATGGCCGGCAGCTTCGTTAAGCCGGTCTCACGTGTTGGCCAGGCCACTTCACTGGGTAGCTCTCGAGTCTCGAGTCTGGAGTGCATAACGAGTAGCAACATGTACAAGAACAAAACATAGATGTGTTTGTGTGTTCATGTTACACTGTACCGACCGAACTACCTACCTACATACACATACACATGCACATGCACATGCACATGCACATGCACATGCATATACATATACATATACATGCATATACATACATGTATAGGTATGAATAAAGGCAACTGAAGCATGCGGGGCAGATACACCTCAATTCACGGTCTGTCATTGATTGCTTCAATGTTGCTGGACCGTGCTAGGCCGCCGTGTGAGCAGGTTCAACAGCAGACGGTTGGTCGAAGTGGGAGATGTAGCGGACAAGCTCCGAAAGATGGAAGAGTGAAGAGCATAGCCGTTGTGGTTCAAGCACCATAAGCACCCTTACCGAAAGTGCAGACCCTGCGCGCTGTTGGACTGATGTGTTCCTTCCGCGCATTGGTGAGTATTGCGGCAGTGGCACTCGCAGAGGGGCATGGCCAGCTGACGGTGCCTTTGGTTCGAGGAGACTCAGTGGGCCGCCGGGAAAGCCATGAACAAAGGGCCCCTGTCTACACGTTGGATGGCAATCGGGGAGGCTACTCTCCCACAAGCATGCGATGCCACGATTTCAACCCAGATTCAGACGGACCGCAGACAACTCTGCAAGCCGGGTCCACCTTTGATGTGACCTGGACCATGGAGGCCGGACACCCCGGTGACTGCTACTTCTATGTGAGTTACGACCCAGATCCGAGCAATGCGGTCAACTTCTTCAAGATTGCTGCAATCCCAGGGTGTGGCGCACCAGATGGCCTGAACATCCCGTCCTCTGTCAGCACTTCAGTTCTCCTTCCCCCAGAGCTGCCGGCCTGTGAGCACTGCGTGCTTCGTTGGGAATGGACGGGACATCAGCAGGTGGTGAACATCGAATTCTATGTGCAGTGTGCGGACATCAAGATCGCCAGCAGTGCTCAGCCTGTGCTGCCTTCACCAGTGACGCCGATCTCGGGCATCGAGCACCTGCCACAGGGTGCTGATGGCTACCGCAAGGTATACAACGGTCAGGGCCCGGAAGAGCAGTACCTCGTAGGCCCTGCTATAGCGACCTACAGTTCCTGCGACGCGAACACGCCGGGTTGCCTCGGCCTGGGGGTAGCTGCGATTAGCACCTCGAACGCAGCAGCGACTCCGACTCCGACCACAGCAACGACGGACAGCCCCACAGAGTCCGGAAGCGTTGTGCCTGGAGCTGACAGTGACAACTCTGGGGCTGACAGTTGCCCTTTGGAGGGGTTCGGGCTGCCGTCCTTCGTCTCCCAGTGCTACTGCGGCTTCGTGGGCTCCGACGGTGCAGGTTGCGGGCCAGATGATGGGACGGCCTGTTGGTGCAAGTGCTGCTGCCATCATGCGGCTAGTGGCAGCTGCCGCTACCGCATGACAGAGATGGAAGAGCTACACTCGTCGCATGCCGTCGGATCTCTCATGGGTGCAATGAGCATGGGGTCCATGTTGACTGTCCTCCTGGCTTGAACAGAACCGCGTGAACCACCTTGTACAGTTCTGATATGTTAAGGATCGTGAGTTCTGATTCTCTGCTCACAGAGTGATCAGCCAAGCCAGAGCCACCCGAGCACTGGTGGTGGTCAGACACATCTCAGGGCACACAACAGGAGCTCCCTACGGAGTTCCATTCCATTTAGTACTTGTAGTCGTATGTTTAGTCACTTGTTTTATGTACCAGAGAGTTTCGAAGTTTTGGACGGCAAAGGCCGCCGTAAACCAAGTGAGCCGTGGAGCTGTGGCGACTCAGCGAAGGCGCGCGCCCTCCACGACCCGCCTGGGCCTCCCCCTGAGCGGAGCACATCGAGCCCTCCACGTTTGACTTGCCAGAACGTGGTGCCCAAAGAAGCCGTGGAGTGAGAGAGAGAGAGAGAGAAACACTCCGAAAGACCGCGAGAAGGTGTTGGGCACTCAGCGAAAGATTCCATATGCTCCCCAAGCCCCAGAAAGTTTTCGAAGAAGAAGAGAGAGATAGAAAGACAGATGCGCCAAGCAAGCAAGCAAGCGAGACTGCCGGCCTTCCGAGCCCTAAAGCAAAGCAAAGCAAAGCAACGAGAGAAGAAAGGAGGCTCCCCCCCTAGGCCCTGTGAAAGAAGGAAAGAAAGGAGGGGCACCAGTTTGTACAGCAGAGCTCGTCCCTCAACATGAAGGTCCTATTCATCCTGGAGGGGGTTGTGCAAACGCACGAGTCGGGAGACTGCCCTCGGCCTATGCCTCTAGCAAAGCACAGAGAGAGAAAGCCACCAACGCGGGATCAAAGCTGCAAAGGCAAGAAGGCAGGCCTAGATGTGCAGCATGCAGACACACGCAGGCAATTTCAGACGTTGGCTCCGGACTGGCGGCTGAACTTGCTCCGGACTGCAAGCACTGCGTGTGCTCGATCGTCCAAGCCACATCCTCGTTGCATGGTAAGTAAACTTAAGCCATGGCGAGCTTGTAACCGGTGTAATCACGTTTCATCGTCACTGGTTGGTAGAGCCTGGCGACCGCAGCAGACAGCATTGGGAGGAAGCAGAGGGAGTCTAGCTTTGGCCCACCTTGCTCCTTGCTGCCGAAGGACTCCGGTCCTACGCAGCGCCATCGCGCGAGAATGAGGCCGGATGTGGCATTCATGCGCTGTGAAGTGCCGAGGGCCGAGAGTGTCTTGTGCCAGGAAGCGCCAGCCACGTTTGTTCTTCAGCGCCTGAGCCTCAAGCCTCGGACCGGACCATAGTCCTTCAATGGATGAATGTACCATTCGATGGCATCTGCTGGACAACTGCGGGGCCGAGCATGGACTGGGTTAGGTGCCAACAAGCACAGCTGACCTCATGGACGATGCAGGCACCACTGCGAACAGACTTTGCCCTGTTTCCAGTAGCCGCCTGACTCTGCGGCAGAGTCGGGGTATAGTTTGCCAAGCGATGACACAACGACCCAGAGGTGCCGTGCTTGGATTTACTGGAAAATGCCACGGTGCATGGAGGTCCCTCACACCTCCGACCCTTCTCAGACTTGGAGGCCAGCGCCGGCGGAAGTGGTTTTCGGACAACTGCTTCCGCACTGTTGAGTTCATGGCTTCCTGTATTCCTGTCAGCCAGCCTTGTGAGGCAGCGACGCTCCATCATCTAGGATCATCGCGCCCCTGGGCAAGTGCTCTTTCGCGCCGCCATGTTGAGCCACCCTTTTGGATGTTGCTACTTGTCGACCGAGCTGTGGCCATCACCCATGAGCCAAGGTTTGCGTGGTTTACAGGAGGCGCGGTTTCCTTGTCGCAAGTATTCGGAAGCTGCGCGGCCCTGCATGAAGAAGCACTTGTTGAGTTGCTTGCAGCATTGCAGGCACAATCAGGTTTGCGTAGGCTGCAACAGGAACACACGAATTGTAGCCAGTCAACTCTGAGCATTTTCAACAGGCGTACATAGCCACCAACTTGAATCTGACTCCAGTACGGAACGACACTCAGGGAGACGATCTGTCTTCTGCTGAGTAGATTAGAGTAGTCTTGATAGTCTGGCTTACCGAAGGAAGCAATGTAACATGGCGCTAGTAGCACGGCCAGTGGGATGCCGATGCTCCCTGGGCAAAGTGTGGCCCACAGATCGAACATGATCTATAGTGACGGTCTAAGGAGTCTAGTGAATTGTATGCGTGTGCCCTGGTCGGGGCCACGGCTCAGGCTGTGCAGGACAGACTGCAGCCTCGAGTCAGGCTTTGCACCACTCCCTGGTTTTATCGTAGCTGCGTTGGGGATCTTTGCAGCTGCCGACTGAGCTCCTGCAAGGTGTCCTCGAGTGCCCTCCGAGAGGATGCAGGGAGGCACAAGGGCGAGACATCAGTGAAATAAGTTGCTTGCCGAGACTTCAGATTTGATGTCAAGCACATGATGGCCTGGCTGTGCTGCACATGGCTCGCTCAAGGCCTCCTGGTGCCTAGTACATGTTGACAGGCTGGTCTCTTTTTAAGGATTAGCCTAAGAACCATGGCTATGTCCCCGCGGGCCTCGTCCAAGTCGGCGGGTTTCCGGGAGATCAAGAATCAGCACCACCTGGATGACACAATGACGCAATTAAGGAGTCTCCGATATCACGGGTACTCGGCCAAACCTTGGGAGGATGCCCAAGGTAATGTCATCTGGCCTTGGATTAGAATCCAACTCGCCAAGTTGGTGTTCTCACAGGCGTTTGAGATGGTGATGGGAGCGCTAATTCTCGGAAATTTGGTACTCATCTGGTACGAAACGGATGTCGATGCAACGTGCTTTCCCGAGTATGTATCGGATTTCGCCAGCTGCCCTACACGCAGTGACACTGTGGGGTGGATTCCTGCCCTCAATCTAGCCATACTCGTGCTCTACTCGCTGGAGTGCTTGGCTCGCGTATATGCAGAGCAATGTCTCTTCTGGTGCAACAAATGGAATCTGACAGATTTCTTCATCGTACTTTCAGGATGGTTTGATTTCATTTTCGCAGATGTACTCAGTGTCAACTTGCTGAGAATGTCCAGGTTGATTCGCGTCTCGAGGGCAGTTCGCCTGCTTATTTCCATCCCTGAGTTTTACCTGCTGATCAACGGCCTTTACTCTTCGATCAAGGCCATCCTATTCGGCGCACTGATGCTAGTCGCAATGATTGTCGTTTGGGCCGTAGTTGCTGTGCAGCTACTTCATCCCATCACGTCCACCCTGGAAAAATACTACTTACATTGCGAGAGATGCCCACGTGGATTCAGCAGTGTGTTTCAAGCCGGGCTAACTTTGTTCCAGCAGCTCGTAGCTGGCGACTCTTGGGGAACAATTAACCTGCAACTGGTGGAAGCCGCACCATGGACAATGGTCGTTCTCTTCGGGATGATGATGACAATCACCTTGGGGCTCTTGAACCTAATTTTGGCAGTGCCTGGGCTGCAAAGGCACATTTGTATCCTTATTCCGGAAGCACCAAACCCCAAGTCCCAACAATAGCATTCCGGGAAGTTTGGCTCGGTAGTAGGCCTCGTTTCACTTAATATTGCAACCACAGACCATGCTCACAAAGAAGCATGCCATCATCAGGTAATCGTTGAACGAGCCGCAGAAGCCCGCGAGAACGATCATGAGGAAAAGATTAAGCAGAAGGAGAACCAGAGAGCTAGAAGCATGGAAGACCTAGCAAGGCTTTGCGCAACGATGGATGCCAACAACAACGGGCTGATCTCCTTGGTAGAGATGCAGGAGGGTTATGACGATGTCGACGAGTTTGCAAAGCTGATGCAAGTCATGGACATGAAGAGGGAAGACATGGAGACGGTATTCAATGTTATGGCCGACAATGTGACTCAAGAAGTCTCGTACTTGGACTTCTGCCAGAGCATTAGCAGCTTCTTCAAGCGGGATCCGGTGATAATGCAGTCTCTGATAAAGTTCTCCGTCATGGAAGTCCGCAAGATACTCCAGGAGGAGGTCTTGATGGTCTTGCAGGAGCACACAGCAATGCTGCAAAAGCTTTTGCCCAGGGATGCTACTAGCGGCACATCTCAAGGACTTGACCACTTGCACAGCAGCCTGGGCTTGAAGCAGAGCCAAAGTGTCAGCGCCTCCTGGAGCCGGCCGGTGCCCATAGCACCGGAGCCGTCGGAAGCAGCGAGACTCTCCTCCTTGACGATGAGGGACTCAAAGTTGCAGGTGCTCTTGTCCAGAGCGGAAGCAATAGCCGCCAGTGCGCTCGATGAAAGCGTAGCTGAGGAGGCTCCGGGTTCCGGTGCTTCCGCTCCTTCCGGTCCTGGCCCGGATTTGCAGAAAGCCCAAGCTTTGTGCACGAGCTTCCGGGCAAGAGAGCTGGAAGCCTTGCACTTGCAAAAGCAGTGCCACCAAATCGTGCACCGATTGAACACGGACCTGCAGTGCAGATATGGCGATGCTAATAATCATTCTAACGACACCGAAGGTGCCAACACTTGCATGTACCACGTGGAGCGGTTCTAGCAGACCCTGCAACCACAGTGGTTTTTCCCCAGCAACTTGCTGTACCTTGATGCATGGCCGCCTGTGATCCAAAATCACATGCTGTACCCACAGGCGCACATTTCCCGGCTGCATACTGACAGCATGTAATTAATGTCATTGAACCCAGGGCTTGCCGACACGCCTCCCGCATAATTAGCCCCCACGTCGGCCTCGATGATGCAGGCTTTTGGAGCAGGCTCAGCATATCCGCCGGCAGCTGTTCCGAGCGCGAGCCAAAGTTGAGGACGCAAAGGGGAGCGCTCAGGACAGCTTCCTTGAAAGTAGGGACATGAAGCCTCACAAGAAAGCTGGTGGCTAGCAAGGCAGCCAAGTTGATCTCCATGTCTAGAGCTGGAACAGCGGTATGGTCAGTGGTCAAAGGACAGTGAGATAAAACTTTCGCTGCTGTCGACCTCTCACGAAAGTGGCCGCAGGAAGGCCAGTTTGTGACCTTCACCGTAAATTGTAGAGATCGAGCGCGGGTGACCAGCAATCGGAGTCGCAGGGTGAGTGCGTCGGAGTCGGGGGATGGCAGAACTGCCGCGACATGGCAGCCCGTACACATCGCAGTCCTGCTGGATTGACCATTCTCATCTGGCAACCTGCAGTTAGTCTGGAAAGCCCCGTATCGCCTAGCAGCCCATGTCAGTGCCAAGAATCTAGAACTCTTGTCGAACACCGACCCGCTTCGATACCGGCTTTGAGCGTGATGCCGGCCGTTTGTTCACGGGGCTCACTTACAAAACTGCTGCAGGCCAGCAGGCAGAAGTTGTAAGTGACTCTTGTGCGGCTTCAGAGTTGCTTTTCGCTTGATTGCTGGCTGGAGGACAGATCTTGCAAAATACTGCAGTTGGCGCAAGAAACGGATGGTCAGAGCCTCAGCAACCCCGGCCCCCCAAGCCAATCCACAAATTGAGCTCAGCAACGCGCTGCACAATTTGGAATTTCCACGGAATGCACGCACCTCTCCTTGGATGCGCTGCGGAGGGCTGGACCGAATGTTCAAAGCACGCGCCAGCGAGGTCTCATCGAGTCGAGCTTGGCCTCCAATAACCGAGAGCTTCGAGACCAGAAGCCTGGCCCTGACTGTCCGGCATTAAACGCAACAGCTTTCGAACGTGCTGCTCTTTCGTGGATGTCGCCCTGCACCCGAGGGAAGGATGTGTTGATGCAGAGAAGGAAGCGGAGGATGCCTTCGAGGAGTGGCCAAGCCGAACAGAGGCACAGGAAAATCCCCCTCTCCTCCACCAAGGCGCCTGTGCAAAAAAACCCTCCCGTACGCCGTGGCCCAGAACCAAGGCCAGAGCTGAGGGCCCTGGCGGCCCACGCTGAAGAAGCTGAGCGGCGCGAGCGGGAGGCAGTCGAAGAGGTGGAGAGCCTCCGTCAGGTGCCTGAGCTGGAGTGGCTGAAAGTGACATACGGAACTGGACAGAAGCAATTGAGGCAGTCATCATCTGCCCACGTTCAACGCAACCAGCAGTCAATTGTCAAAGCTGCGTGCTGTCATCCCCTACTGCATTGTAGCTTCTGTCTTCGCCTTCACATCGGTACTGTATCATTGCGCAGGGTCCGGTTTTGATGCGTGAACCCAAGTCTGTAAGTGGAGGATCAAAGTGTCAGGCCTTGGAGCGAACTGGGCTCAGGCGGCCGGAGGCAGCATGCAAGCTGAAGCCTTCAGCCAGGCTGATGCGCACTCTGTGTGTTTTTTGCCAGGGCAAGTCCAACCAGCCACTAGCAGCTGTGCTCGATGCCGTCGCTGGAGGGCTTCCTTTGCAGGACTCTTGCATGTCGCGGCAGTCTACTGTTTGCCCGCCATCGTTTCTCCAGGAACAGATGTGCTACGAGTGGTTGCGAATGTTGCGACACGACAAGCCTGCACACAGCGCTCTAATGATTGTCGAGGCAGGGCCGCACGGGTGGCAGGCATTTAAACTGGAACTACAGCTGTCTACCTGCAGTCTGCTAGTGTTACCCCATAACTTCGGCTCAGGCAGAGTGCGATGTTTGGGAAGACCGCCTTCACAGCCTCTTGGCGCCAGAGGCCTGCAAACCAGGCTTCAGGCGGCAGCAGGGCCTCGATCGCTTGCAAGCGGAGCTATCGGCTCCTCGGCTGTGAAATCCGCTTGGTTGTCTTCACGTGGCACTCGACAATGTCTGTGGGACAGACATTCATTCTGGTACAAGCGCGGCGCAAAGCAAATTGGCATGCGAGTCGTCCGAATTGCCGCTCCATGCGAAATGCCTGTGCTCTCTGCTTCCAGGATCTGACGTCAGAAGAACGAATGCGGAAGACTAGCTGCTGGTGCAGCATTCGATGTGCTGTATATTGAGGTTTGGTGATTGGTAAGAGCCCGAGTAGGATTCGGGTCGACATGGAGGGGTGGCCTGTTTCACAACGCCTGCAACTTGCATCCAGCGCGCTCACCTAGCGGACCAGTAGACTGTCATCTGTCTGCTGCATCTTTCTAGGCTGGGGCTCGGACGTCCGGTGCTTTAGATAGTTCCTTGATGTTCCTTGCATGGGTTTGCTTGGCTTTGGTGTCTTGCAGCTCCCAGGTTGCAGCACATGTCTGCAGCTTCTCTCCCAGAAGGCTGAGCAACACGCTTGGCGCAGCCTGGCCAGACGTGGAATTCAGGCATAACTAGCCCCAGCGTGCCGAGCATCGCCCCGAGGTGACTTGGAGGTGGTCTATGCGCTCGTAGATGACTTGCGGTGTGCCAATGACATGCTCGCCGGGGAAAAGGCCAAAGAGCAGTGGCAGCAGCTGGCTGCTGTTGCCAAGGAGCCTAAGGCTGGGCAGGGCGGAATCGAGATAGGGAGGAGCCTTCGATGAAGCGAAGCCTCCATTCTCCTCCCTGAACCACATCCCGGGATTTCTTGCAAGACCGGTGCTCGCATATGATTCTTGCTGTAGGAGCACCAGGGTCTTCCGCATCCACATGGATCTGTGGAGGTCGGCTATGGCAGGATGTGGGGGCTTCTTTGCGGGGTTTAGGTAGACTGGCGGACACTGGCAGAATGCTGCATGCTTGACTCTTGATTGCGGGGTCTTAATCCTTGGTTTCTGGCTCCCAGCACTTCGCAGGGCAACAAATGTCGAGTTCGACAGGGAAGGAGAAATAATTGCGCAACATAAACTCAGTAAGTTTGAAAGAAGCGTTTCCCTGGTTTGCGCCTTATGAGATGCCAGAACTCTTGCCAAAACGAAACAGAACGAGCTGGGCAATTATATTGTGAGAGCCTATCGCATGCCGACACTTGTCCACACTTGATGCGGAAGATGTGTGGCGATGTGCAGGCAGGGCTGCCTCCCGGCCCGAAGTTCTTCTCAGTGGCGCAGCTGCTCCAGAGCCAGAGCCAGGCAGATCGGAAGGGGCGAAAGGAGATGGGCGCAGATGGGGCAAAGTTTGAAACTCCTGACCCTCGGCTCAGGACACAGCCCCAGCTGAGCCCGATGATCTTCCGAGAATGCCTCCTGCCGTCCTGTCTCCTGCCGAGTGGGCAACTTCAAGCCCATGCCAGGTGGGCTTACTGCTCAAACACATCGAACAGTGCCAGGTTGTTCCTGGTACAGGAGGGTTTTGTGGGCATCCAGACGCGGATTCGGGTTGAAACCTCCATGGTCCACGAAGGGAACTGATCCCCTATTGGCCCTATTGGTGTGCCAGGCTTCCCATGGCTTGTCGTTTCTCTATGGGCCGATACTTGTGCAGCAAGACTTTGAGACATTGTGCTTTCTGACATCCGAGCACCTGTACGCTCTTGCCTGCGCTTGTCTTTGTTAGTTCTTCATAAGCTGCAGCTATCCTGGATCTATGTTGAAGATCCCGCCTTTGAGAGACAAGAAGAGGCAAAGGAGTGCTTGTTCAGGACCAGCCAAGCTCGGCTTCAGCCCGTCAAGGCTCGCGCCACATCTCTGGAACAAGGCCGAAGGGCGCAGTACTGCTTCGAGCCGTCCATATTCTCTGCAGCAGGACCGCGGCTTTTCAACACTTTGCTGGTCTTACCTGCTGAATTAACAGGGCGATGTCATCGTTAGTCTTGCGAACATCGAAGTGCCCGGGACCCGACAGCCCAAGGATCTTGCTTCCCAAGACACAAACCTCCCCTTGAAGGGCCGTGTGTTCAAACCAATTGAGAGTTGATTTGAAGGCATGGGCACATGCGGATGGGCTCCGGGCGGCGAAGTTCAGGAATGATGATAATTATTGGTGATGGTGCTGGTGATGGTCATCATCATCGTCGCCATCATCATCAACATTATCATCACCATCATCCTCGTCATCACCGCCATCATCAGTTTCATCATCAACATCATCATCATCATGATCGCCATCGTCGTAGTGTCGTAGTTGATTGGTAATGATGTCACTCCATGGGTGCAGATCGCCGGAACAAGAGGAATGCACTTGTTGCTCAAGAGTTCTTTCTTGTCCTTTCGTTGCCACAGGAGATAGCATAGAACACGCCCGGAGTGTCGATACGATGCAGCAAAGCACAGAGCTCCTTCGCTGCTCGGCCGGCGCTGCGCAGAATTCAGACGGCAGACTTCGAGCGGTTGGTCAGCTCCACTCGCCTAAGGACAAGTGTTCGAGGAACCCCTTAGTGAAGCCATTGGCACGCGACGTCCTACGTCGAGCAGTTCCTCACTAGCAGGGCACAAGGCCTGGCTGGGGACAACCAGCAAGTTCAGTCGGAAGAATATCAGAGTGAGGCAGCAAGCAATCGCACCAGACTGCCAAGACGTGCCTTCAAGTCAGGTGCCACCCTCACTGGCTGACCGCCCCAGTCGAGCTGGCTGGGTCACGCAGCTTGCTGGCACGATTGCTGGCTCATGTCTTCATTTTGTGCCAGGAGACTGTAATGGATGGAGTCTGGAGTGCTTCATGACGCTGTTCAGGTTTGAAGCACGTGGGGCAGTGAGGCATCCTTTGCCCGAGGCGGCACCTGTACTGCACAATGATCGTTTCCACGCACAGATCGGCAGAGCGATGACACATGCTAAGGAAGCCGTGCAGAATGACATTATTTCACGGGGATCTCCACAGCAAGATGAACACCCGTCGCAATGGGAAGCTTGGCTGTGTCATTCGATGTGAAAGCATGTGGACCGGGCAGGCACCAGGTGGTTCCGTTAACCGGTGCGGCAGCCGTTCACATAAGTAGACTCCGGATGTCGATGTTAGGCGCCCCCACTTGTCACGAACTTGAGGATTTCGCTTGGCCGGACAGTGTCCTGCAGCCGCCAAGCGAGCCGATGTCAGATGGACATCACTCTCAGATACCTGCATTTAGTACGGCGTTTTCATGATTGGTTGCAGGTATTCCGCAGGAATGCTGGGAACCTGATATGTAGGCTGCTAGACCTAGGGTTCCTGCATTCCCCGTCAATGCACCTGACCGTGGTACTTGGGGTCGCCATGGATGCAAGCTGTTTGGTGAAAACGGCGAGAACACTGCCCGACATTACGTGACATGACATGGCATAGTGGCGAACATTTGCGCGACTTGGTGGCTTGCAGGTTGTCCCCCTGACGACGTCGCAACACGGCACACAGGTGCGTTCGGCAAGCGTGCAACCAACACCCACAACCTCGTGATCGTTTTGCTGCATTTTCTAGAACGTTCGCCCCCAGTGAAATCGGACGGAGTGCACATGAAGATGACGTGCCGGAGTTTGCTTCAGGTGGCAGTGCTGCTGCTTTTCGGGACGCTGCGGGCCAAGCAAAGGAGCAGACAGAAAGCCCCGACTTCAGCTCTGAAGCCTGCCACAGGCATTGCCTCCTTGCGGACATACCTTTTCATGCCACGAACCTGGGATGCTCTTGGGCCGTTGAAGCGTACTCTGCAGAACGAAGGCAGGGGCAGCAGTCCTGTCACAATAGAAAGGTTTGCCAAGAAGCTGCAGAAGCCAAGAACACTGCGGCGGGTACCTTAGACGTAAGCAATGCCAGCTGCGTCTTGCAAACGGATTCCAGTTTCCAGTGAGCCAGCGATGCCGGGTGCTGCTGCAGTCGAAGCATTCAATTACCTGCGAGCAGAGTACTGTAGTCCTTCGACAGGAAAGCTTGCGTTCCGCGGTTCTCTCGTGCTGCGGCCTTTTCAGAACGCGAGAATACCGAGGCCTCAAAGAGGTCAGGTGGAGCGAGCGCACGATTGACTGCACAGGCAGGGCACAGCATGTCATTCTTTGGCTCACTGGATCTCTGTCGCTCAGTGAGGCCTTGAAACCTATCAACACCGTCGTTTACGGAATTCAGGACCGAAAAGGGCAGCTGTAAGGGGCCTCGGATAGCAGCAGCACGCAAGATCATCCGAGGATCTCAGCAGGCCGTCACAGAATCCCCGCTGCAGCTACAAACCCCATGAAAGCTCCAGTAGGAAGCCTCCAGTTCCGCAGGTCATCAGCGGAGCCCGACGACACGGCACAACGGCCCATGTCTGAGAACGTCTGAGAGCCCGAGCGAGCGCCAACTCCAAAGCATCACCGGTGACCCCAGGCAAGTTCGCGGCTTCCATTTCAAAGACATGACAGCCCCAGCCTGAGCTGCGAGGCAGAAACCGGCAGCGCGCAGAGCGTTCCCAGGCAGTTTCGGAGATGGACGATGGTCGGGTGATTGAGTTGCACGCTGTCTCCCACTCAGAGTCTGCAAAACATCCCCACTGCAACCACGAGCATAAACAGTGTTTGCTTTCAGCTTCAAGTTGCGAGAGTGGCAAAGGACAGCATCAGCGGCACCCTGGCAGGGGTCCTGTGCAAAATCCTGTTCGCCTGTTCGAGAGCAGCATTTGGTCGGGAAGATGGGGTATTGAATTTGCAGCTGAATCCAGGCCTTGCCTCTTTTTTCGGCACCACTTGGGCAGGCAGCACGTTTTCTAGCAGCAGATCTTTTTTTCGTGCAGCTTGTTCGGCATGTCCAGCATACTGAGCATAGCTACTGTGCGCAACTCCACTTGCAGGCAAGTCGGGATGCACTGGTATCTGGATTCCGGTCTGCTCTAGAAGATGAGAGGAGCATGCCGCAGAAAGCTCGAGACATGCACGGACTGCAGGCATGATGCACACGCCAGTTTGCATGAAAGGATTGCGTCCTGGTCGGCATTTTCGAAGACATTTCGAAGCGAAGATCAACGTTCGAGGCCGTTTTCCATTAGTTGCTGGCTAGTCATGGTTTAGCGAGAGACATGTCCCGGGTTGCCAGTGTTCATTATTCGTATTAGCCATGTCTTTGGCCTTTCTTTGCGTACTGCCAGCGCGGCTGACTGGCTAGCACAGGCAAGATGGCAGTTGAAGCATCCAACAGCATGTGCCAGGCTTCTGGAACGGCAGGGCGTGACCGCCTCAGTGCAACTGTTTGGCTAAACTGGTGCAGAAGTGTTTCTTACTACGCGTGTTGAGTTGTGCAGCTGTTGATACTCTAAGAGCAGAGAATCTCGGCAAGTGTGCTGGGAGGGCATGCCTATCGTGTGCCGAGCGGGATTGCCCTCCTTTGAATCTGTAAACGGCCAGAAGCAGTCATGCTGCATCCTGCTATCTTCGGGAAGGCGACCGCAACTTCCTTTTTTCCGTATCAAAGCTGCACATCGACGCCGGGATTCGGGAAGAGGCTACTTGAGTACCAGACTGACTGCACTTCTCCGTCGGTGGCAGAGAACCGACCCGGAAGCCCAACAAAAAGGGCCAACCGATCAGAAAGCGACCGCAACATCGCAACAAGAAGCCAAGCCGAGGTTTGCGCCCACCGACGCACGACATCCCTTTCGAAGTAAGTACAGCATCGGGAAAACAGCAGGACGACCTTTCGTCATTCATTCTGCAAATGCTGCAAAGAGGATAACGAAGCCTGGGGATGGAAGCCATGAAGAAGACGCGAAAGCCGAGCTGTCTCCAGCTTCGGTCTGGACTGGATGTGATATGAGACATGTGAACCCATTGATCGCTTGTCTCAGGATGCAGCAGCTGGAGCGGGCTTGCGGAAGCTGGTGGTTTGGGAAGTTGAGCGCCCGAGCCTTGGAAAGCTTTGCAAGCGAGAGCTGCGTCGAGATGCCGCCAGGCAGACTACCCACGGCCTCCGAATGGAAGACTCCCTTCCTCCCAACGGACTGTTTCTTGACAGCTCCAGTTCAGCACATCGTGTCTTGCACTATCCGAAGGATGCTGGACTGACCTGGCGCTGGGTCGACACACGCGGGCTGCAATCTCATCCGGTGGTCCGTGAGATGTGGCTGTGTGAGGAGACTTCCCGCTTTTCCAAGGCGGCGCCACCCGAACCTGTCGCTAGGCATGGCACTTGGATCGTGGCAGTCGGCCTTGCGTGCCCTACCTTTTTGAAACGGAGCCCGAACATAATCAGGTACTTCATTCCAGCAATCGCAACAGAGCGGCCCAGTTTCACTTACTCCTAGAAGGATGCCGTTCGGAAGGCGAGAATCCGGCGATGAAGAAGCAATGATTGAGCTTGTATGGTGGAACCAAGAAGGCAAAATCACTCTCATGCACGACATCTGGGCCCGGATACTGGAGCCAAGCCGAAGTGCAAGCACCGCAGATGTACGACAGAGCAAGTCAGACAGACGTGGCAGTGGATGCTTCAGTGCTTTATTCGAAAGTGTAGGGTGCGGTTGAGGGGGCGTGCCGTTCTGTTCCAAGAGATGCAGGGTCATTGTGGGTCCGTTGGTCCAATCTTGATGCTTGAGGCTTGACACGTGTGGCCCTCAGCAATTGCGCAAGTAAGTGTTTGTATTCCAGATAATTCAGTGCTCTTGGAAATTGTGTGTGTTTCCCATGACCGTAGAGACTAAGAAACCTGCGACAAAAGAAGGTCTGCAAGCTGCGGGCAGCAAGACTCCTCCCTGCAGGCGGGGCGAAATGCAGAAAAGATCAATCTTGGAAGATGCTCGATGTTGCCGCATGAGCCAAGCAACTAGAGTATACAACGACATTGGTAGGACTATGCTTAATTGGTTGGACTACATGTGGTAATCATGCAGCAGCAGCAGCCGAACGACGACAATAGTGCGCGTGATGCTGGCGGCTTTGTTGGTTGTCCAATAAGAGGCAGGAGATCTCTTCAAAAGGCGGAGCAATCTTCGTCGCCAGGATCGGGAGCCTCTATCGGCCTACCTCAGACTGGCAGCTTGAAATCGGTCGGAGCTCGAGCCACTGCGCACCGCTGTTTCGCATACACCCGAATGAGGACCTGAAACCGACCATCATGGATGGTCGTATGGCATGGCTTGGAACTCCTCAAGCTGGGAGCGGGTTCTGACAACGGTTCAGATTCATGTCCCCATACAAGATTCTTTGCAAAATTGCAACCGCACTCCTTCAGGAGGCGGCTCCTAGCCCACTGGAAGTTTTGCGGCGAAGACGTTGGACAAGGACTCCCTTCCTGCACTGGGAAACCATCCAGCGCTTCGAAGCCTCAAGGATTGTCCGGTCTCAGCAGGAGACCTGTACCAGGCCGGGAGGCAAGAGGCAAGAAAGGTGCATGGATCACGTGCTGAATTCCAGAGTCCACGCGGTGTCGATGAGACATCCTATGCTCGTGACACTCGAACCTCGTGTGGGATTGCAATTCCACGGTTTAAACATTCAGACAGATGTACATGCTAAATTCATCGCACCACATCACCAGTACACAGCGGCATTCAAGTGTAGAAACAGTGCTAGCTGCTAACAACCTCAGCAACATGTTGTCTTTGCTTTGCTTGGCAGATCCAGCATACTGGGGATGTGAGGACTTTCACTTGAAGACCCAGACTCCGCTGGTCTGCTACCTTGGTGACTTTGGTGGCGGCCGCGGTCGATTTCCGGTAAAGCCAGTTTGTCAACCACTTCTACTCACGGAAGTTGGCGCACTCCTGCAGCGGCCTCTGCGTCTCCAACAGAATGGAATGGCAAACTTTGTCAGTGGCCGTCGAAAAGCAATCAGGGCAGCCGGAAGACATCGGTTGCGCTGATGAGGTGCATCGGCGAGGACAACAGATCGGAAGATATCGGAAGATGCTTTGAGTGCGAAGCCATCAGTCCGCTCTGGAGCGTCGAAAAGCCTTTTGCCACGCTGAACACGCAGAATCCGGAAGAGCGCGAGAGGCTATCTTCGGCCCGGCTGTTGACTGTCAACCCGAGATTTCACATAGCTGACGGAAGAGCCTGCACCAGTCGCTGCCACCGGTTCATTGAAATGCTACCAGGTAGCAGGTCCAACCGGCTTCATCAAAGAGCTGCTAGCCGGATTGTGTAGACTCTGACTATTGACTATGGTTTGGAAGCAGCACTGAAAAAGTGAATGGCCTCGCCGGAACAATCTAGCAATTGTTAACTGTTAACTGTAGAACGGGATGGTAAGAACAATTGTACATTTCCAACGGATGGTTGCAGGTAGCTTTTGCAGATTCGATCAACTTGGAAACGCTAAGTTCAGTCTCCCCTTCAATCTTGGCAGCATTAGTTCAGACAGAGCTTCGGCGATATGAACCAATTTTATTGTCTTACCCTTAGAATCAAGAAGATATTTATAATATTTTCATTTTCGCGATTTGCTGGTTATTAATTATATTCTTTATTATTATATTATTCTTAATTCTCGTAATGGATTAATATGGACATTACTTTCGTTTAATTGTTCTGAAATTTTATCTTTAATTAAAATCTTAATATTGTGGTCTTTTGAATTAGAAAATTATGAAGCTATTGATTAGAGATCTTTTCTTTTAGGTATTTTTATTTCAAATTTTATTTTTAGGTTTTTCTATTATTCGATATCGATATATATATATATATTTCGGTATTCTAAATTTTAATTGAAGATATATTTATGATATACTAGAGTGGACCCGTTGTTTCTAGCAGCGGAACTAAGATGACGAGAAATTATTTGTCGATGCTATAGAAGTTAATAATACAAGACTTTATAATACATAATATTTTGGGTGAAAACGATTCGTACATAATTATATTTATCGAATAAGAATCCTTGGCCTTCGCCCGGCTTCAGAAAGATACGGATGTTATTAGTATCGCGTGCGCGGGAAAGAGCCACCGAGAATTGTTCGTGAGTGAATACTAGCCGTGGAAAATATAGAACGTTATAGTATTTATCGCTGGATTTTATTAATTATCATAGCCCTAAATCCTAAATTAAAGCAAGCTCCGAATTTAAACGATGTACTTTGGGACCGAGACAATAATTTGGGGTCTTGGACTCAGAATTGGAAGCATTAGGTTCATGCATAGCCAGGGTAAGGGGAACACGATCTGTAAATTCGGGCTTACAGACGGAATTGTTAGGTTCATATATAATCAAGGTCTAGAGAAGACGACATATAACTTCGGAAGAAGATGAAATATGTCGGGTAAAGATGCTATAAAATATTGCTGATAGTACTAGTATCTCCGACTCATCAGAGCTTACAATAATAAAGCCGGAAGTGGCTAATAACGACACGATATATATTTCCAAAAAAAATTTGCAAAAAAATTAACAAAGATAGAAAAACAAAGAATATATTTAAATAAGAACGATAGCAAGATTTATAATATATATATCTAATCCAATAAAATTTCCCAATAAGGTTTGGACAGATTTTGACAAAAATAAAATACAGGAAAAATATTCTTCTTGCAAGCCTCTTACATCTTTTTCGAACGATCCTAAAATCAATTCGCCAAGACAAATTCCCGGAAGCTAAAATTTCGGAAATTTTACTACCACGAAAGCCACAAGTATATCCTAAAAATTTCGGAAATTTTATGACCACGAGCATACGGTACTAACACAGACAAACACAAACAGACAAACACAGAGATAGAGACAGAAACAGAGACTAAGACAGGAACAGAGAACAGGCAAACAGAGAGACAGAGACAGGCAGAAACAGAGACAGAGAAGCAAACAGAGACAGACAACAAACAGAGACCGAGACAGACACAGACAAATAGACACAGACAGACACAGACAGACACAGACAGACACAGACAGACACAGACAGACACATACAGACACAGACAGACACAGACAGACACAGACAGACACAGACACAGACACAGACAGACACA